TGTTGAGATTGAGACTTGCAGAATATTCAGTCTGAACTGGTCTTGAAACATGATCCTCCCATTCACAGCCTTCTATGTAGCTAGGATCGCAGGCATGAGCTTTGGATACCTACCTTACTTTTTGATTTTGACTCTGCTGATTAAGCTTAAAATTTATTTAATTAAAACAAGCACTTTGGGGCAAGAGAATGAATATGATGAGAAAGTTAGTGGTAGAAAAGAAGGAAAAGTGATTTCTTCTGGATGGATGCCAGCATATTTTTGGTGAAGAAAACAGAACAATGGAGGGCAAAGTAGTGATTAAAAGAAATGATTAAAAACAAAACTAAAGACAATTTTGCAGAGCCAAGAAGTCTTGACATTGAACAGGCTAATCTTGGGGGGGGGGAGGGAGAGAGAGAGAGTGTGTGTGTGTGTGTGTTGTACTGGGACTTGGACTCAAAGCCTGTGCTATCCCTGAACTCTAGTGCTCAAGGTTATAGCGCTCTGCTTTTGGATTTTTGCTGGTTATTTGAAGATAATAGTCTTGTGGACTTTCCTGCCTGGGCTGGTTTTGAACCCAGAGTTCTAGATCTAAGCCTTTTGAGTAGCTAGGATTACAGATGCGAAGCTACCAGCACCCAGCAAATGACATAATTTAATAGAATTAAAAAGGAACTTTGCAGTTAAATTCATGATTGTCATTCGTTGTCATGCTATTGTCATCTGTGAAAGAATTCAAAAAATATAACATCTGATATTTCTGCCTTCAAATGCTCATTTGAAATGAATGCTATAATGCTAACATGTATAAAATAAAGAAGTATAACAATATCTAAAAGAACATAAAATATGAAACCAAACCATTACTGTATGGGAAGAGAAGAATGGAAAAGAAGGATCAGTAATGATCAGGAAAGGAGACTAAGCAATAGGAATAAAGGTGCTCAACAAATGGAAAAAGCACATTGGTAAACTATGTAAAGTGTGCCACATTACTTAACTTTGAGAGTTTTCAGAAGATACTCAACAAAATATAGCTATTATGCCATTTATAGTAATATCCCTAAAATATATTTTCATGAAGTTAGAAATAAATAGGAAGAAAAAGAGAAAAAGGCATATCATACAGAAGAATAAATATATTTATGTGGAAAAAATACGATAAAAAGTTTTATTGAGCAGTGAAAGAATGTTAAAGCAATTAGTACTTTCTAGGAAAGAATAGTAAAAATTTAAAATATTACTTCTCTATAGATTAATCTATAAATTGAATAGTATTCCAGTCAGAAACTTTAACAAGTTCTTCATGTTTCTAAAATTTATATGACATATAGAAAGGCCTAATCTAAATAAGATAACTTTGAAAAGAATGTAAGATTTTGGCACTTGTTTTATTGGATGTCAAAAAGTTTTATGAAGCTGCAGAAATTAGTGATAATAGTAATTGGTAAGGGAAGACAAACAGACTGAGCACTGTATGTGATGTGCACATCTGTGAAGAAAGACACACCCTTGATAGATGAAAAACCAGAGGGTGCGGCTGCTAAAAGACAACTCTTATCTAAATGAGGACTGAGAGCTATAGCATAACTAAAACCGTTCATCATTTAACAACCTTGTGGTAAAAGTCCCATAGAATAATGAAAATGAAAAATAGTGACAAGGAATGTGTAATTAGCATGTGCAGGCTGCAAACTGATAAAGGAAATTAATTTCAATACAGCAAACTTAACCACAAAGTTAAGAGATACTACTCAACCAGGTGCTGAAGATAGGGACACAAGATTCAGAATAAATTATATAATCTTTGTTTCTCCATCTACAGATTCTCATGTGTTAATTTGTGCATTTTATAAACGTGAAGGAATGATATGGAAACATATTCCAGTTCTTAGTAAGACTCATAGAGCATATTCTTGGGAAAAGAGGAAACAAGAAAAGAAGACTTTCATTTAACATGGAAAGTTTATTTAAATGCACAAATGTGGTCCTATGTGTCTTTGTGTACATGGGCACAAATGAGAAACATTTTTGATAAAAAAAAATGCCAAGAGGCCATAAGGTATTGAGTACACCTATTCAATAAAATTCAGTAAAGCATGAATAATAGAAAAGTGGATAAAGGATAACACTTTCCATGAAAAAATGCAAATGAATTCTACTGAAGAGTACCCTGTAGCTTCAGTTTATCCCATCATCTGTTGTGTAATACAGCTCATGGAGTTTTCATTCCCCAAGGCCATTAGCAAAAGAGTTTTCTGAAATGCAATATGAAAAAGGGACAATTTCTTCAGAAGTTATTTATTATTTCTATATTATACTCCTGTTTGATATTCAGTGTTTTCACTTGTTGATGTTTTGTTACTTTGATAGTAATTTATGTTACATTAGGATTTTCTGTTTTGTTGTTTGGGGCTTTTTTGTTTCTTTGTTTTTATTGTGCCAGTACTAAGAACTTGATGTCAGGGCCTCATGCTTTTTCACTCAAGCCTGGGGCGCTGTCGTTTAAGCCACACCTCTTCTAACTTTTTTCTGATTAGTTGGAGACAAGAGTCTCTCACATTTGTCTGCCCAGGCTGAATTCAAACCATGATTCTCAGATCTCAGCCTTCTGAGTAGCTTGGATTACAGGAGTGATCCAGAGGTACAAGGCCAACATTGTTTTGTTTCATGAGAAAGAGTAATGTTGTGGCTTTCCTATAACATCTAAAATGTTTAAACAATTAAAAATATTGATGTGTACATATCAAAGAATAGCTTGAAATTAATATAAATGTGAAACTATTATTTTATAAGTATAAAGCTTTTAAGGATCTCTAAAGTTTAGTTTGTAAAATATTTACTTTAATGCTTCTGAGTTATTGATAGGATGAAGATTGTTTTAAAGTTATTGTGACAGATTATCAGAAAAGATATATGGTGCTACACATAAAATGGAAATCATTTTAGCATATTTATAAGTTGTTTCAACTTGATGGTGTTGTCTTTAATATATTTTTATGCTCATTAATGCAGATGTAAATTTTTATTTGTAACAAGTCAATAAACTGTATGGTTAATTTAAGTGTATACCAAAGAATATATACTGTTCTTCTACTTCTTGAACAAGTTTATTGTGTCCATACAAATATTGTGATAAATTCTGGATCGACATAGATGTCATTGTCTAGGGAAGATGAAATGGCAAACAGCCATTGACAAACAATAGAAAGTATGATATGAATATAATGAAATTGTGTGAAATTTTAATGATTAAATATCAAAGGATGCATCACTGAAAGTGTTTAAAAGCCTGTAAGACCTGACTGAAACACTGACGAACAACAGTGAAAGTTTATCTATCATGTTCTAAAGAATAAAATCTCAAAGCTTTGTCACATATTTAGGGTACAGTGTATAGTGCAGAAAGAGTGTACAGAAAAAAGCTTTCTGTACAATCACAAGAAAAATTCTCAACCTTTTTCGGCTTTAAATCATTAAGTAAATACTTTAACAAGATTCATTTCAAAATGACAGTTAATAGTCACTAAAAACCATAATTTAGTTACACCATGAATTAAATGCACTTTTTTGCTCTGTTAGTGTTCAGATACAGGAACAGAAACCAGTGTAGGCGTAATTAGCATAAAAGTATTTAATACAAAGACCTGGATGTTTACAAAATGTTTGGGAAAATGCTAGACTTATACCCCATGTCTGGAATCTAGGAAGTAGGAAATGCTGCTTTACTACCTCTTATCACCTGAGAGGCCCAGGAGCAACCTGAGAATAAATAAATAACTCTGTATGTCTCCACTGTTGTCATGCATTTCTTTTACTACTTACACCTTGATGAACATCCTTGTCAGCAAAAACAAAAAGGAGCAGAAGGACAGTGTTGATTGCATTTAACAAATCTCTAGCACATCTAATTAGTGAGAATCTAATCTCATTCTCAATCTTAGTTACCCCAGCATCTAGGAAGTAGGAGTCTTAGCTTTTAATAATCAACAGTTGAAGCCGGGCGTTGGTGGCTCACACCTGTAATCCTAGCTACTCAGGAGGCTGAGATCTAAGATCACGGTTCAAAGCCAGCCCAGGCAGGAAAGTCCGTGAAACTCTTATCTTGAATAAACCACCAGAAAACCAGAAGTAGTTCTGTAGCTCAAATGGTAGAGTGTTAGCCTTGAGCTGAAGAGCTGAGGGACAGTGCTTAGAACATAAATACAGTAATATATTTTCCGTTGAACTAATCTGATCATAATAAATTTGTATAATCCTGTAGAAGGTATATGTAACTATATAAAACATTCAAAATATAAATGTATAAAACTGCTGGGAAGGTGGCTCAGTGGTAGAGGGCTTGCCTTGCATGCATGAGGCCCTGGGTTTGATTCCTCAGCACCACATAAGCATAAAGAAAAAAGCCGAAGTGTCGCTGTGGCTCAAGTGGTAGCGCGCTAGTCTTGAGCTGGAGAGCTGAGGGACAGTACCCAGGCCCATAGTGCAGGCCCCACAACGGGACCCCCCCCCAAAAAAAATGTATAAAACTTAAGTAATTCTCTGTTTAAAAGAATGAGAGCATAAGTTACATATGTGTTTACTTCATGGTATTTTCATCTTGAAAATTCTGTATAATTACTTGTGTGTTAATGGGAAAAGCAAATCACATTATTATTGTTGTGTGTTATTTGTGTGCTTTCACCAAGGGTCATCTGAGTAATAGCTATGGCTAAAAGTTATATTTGTGATGTGCTCATGTTTACACAGTAGGTGACATATCCAGATTTGAAATGTCTTCTAACTTCAGAACTCATCCTCTTTCGATCCTACCACACTGTTTATTGTGAGGCCGTCAATTTTTTTAAGTTGAATTAGCATAATTAAATGTTAAATCACATTGGATATATAAATCTGATGGTTCTATATGATTTTTGACTTTCCTGAATTACTTGTATTCTGATTACCCCTCCGATGCAGTGATTAAAATTTACAAGGCATTTTTCTAACTTCCTTTGGGGATATCCTTTTTCTCACAGGGTTACCTTTTGCCATCTGCCTTTCCAGAGTAAGTGGCTCTATGTGGGCACTGAACGAGGTAATATTCACATCGTCAACGTGGAGTCCTTCACACTCTCCGGTTACGTCATTATGTGGAATAAAGCCATTGAACTGTGAGTGTGAGCAAATTTTCATTTATGAAAGTAACAGTCTTTATCTGGTGATAACATTATGTAACAGTCTACTGGTAAATCAGATGGAATTAATATGTATCAGACATTCTTAATATTAAACTCATAGTTGTTGGTCTTTTGTAATCATTGTTCTGTTATGGTATTTTATAAATTTACGTGCTTTCTATTCATATATACAGATAAGTAGGCACCATTATATATGCCAAACAAAACTTAAGTTTCTTCTTGTTAGGTAAAGAAATGCTCAGGTTTTTTTCTATTTCTTTATCTCCCAATTATCTTTCTTTTAAAAATGTTGGATATGATCCACAGTGGGTTTCCACTAGTGTTTAGAAAACACTGAGCTAAAGCTACCCTTTAAATTTTTGGTTTGTTTGTTTAGTTTTGTTGAGATAGGGTGCATTGTTGTAAATCTCAAGCTACACTCAAAGTTATAAACCTGTGTCAGTGTCAGTCTGTTGAGTGCTGGAATTATAGATATGTACTGTTATACACTATACTCTTTGGTGTGTTTTTTTTTTTTTTGGGTCCGGTAGTAGGGCCTGAACTCTGGGCCTGGGCACTGTCCCTCAGCTCTTCAGCTCAAGGCTAGTGCTCTACCACTTGAGCCACAGCACCACTTCCGGCTTTTTTCTTTTTGCTTATGTGGTGCTGAGGAATCGAACCCAGGGCCTCGAGCATGCAAGGCAAGTGCTCTACCACTGAGCCACCTTCCCAGCCCTCTTTGGTGTGTTTTAATGATTAACAAATTATGTGTATGTAAATATATATTTGCTAAAATTAAAATGTTACAGAATTATTTTTAAAACTAATTTATTTAATTTTGATACAATGTTATTATTTAAATCATATTAACAAAAAATGAAATCCTACGGATCTATAGTGCTTTACACGCTTTCTTAAAATGTTTTGATACCTTACCTCTTTCTGCAAGGGTTTTTTTTGTTTGTTTGTTTCTTTTGATTGTGTTTTTTTGTTTTGTTCTACTTTGTCGTTGTTTGGTGCCAGTATTAAGGCTTGAATTGGGGGCTTGGACACTGACACTTAGCTCTTCTGCTCAAAATGGGGAGTACTTTAGCTCTCTTTCCAGTCTTTTGGTGGTTAATAGGAGATAAATGTCTCAAGGACTTTCTTGCCTGGGCTGGCTTCAAACTGTGATCCTTAGATCTCAGCTTCCTGAATATCTAGGATTACAAGGATGAGCCAGTAGCTCTCAGCTCTGGAAGTTTTTGTTCTGTTCTTGAAGCATAAAAATGAAAGTCTAAAGATATTGGCAAGGATCTTTTTTAAATATTAACTTTTATTTTTAAACAAGTAGTTTTCTGTTCTATTCCATAGTTTTCACATCTTTTGACAGAATAATTTTGTGAACTCTCTTATGTGTGTATTGGTATAGCTGTAGTAGTATTTTCCTTCTTGTGGTGGGGATGTTATTACCATATCTATCAGTCCCTAGGTAATGTAGGTTTTCAGTTTGCTTCTGAGTTGACCACGACATCTAGTGGGTCAGGCTGTTGTAAATGTCTATAGTTTTACCAATGATTCTAGTGAAGTGAGATTTTAGCCTGCACAGACTATGTATTTGCTACTATATAGATATTATTTCAACAATGTTCTTATCTGTGACTCTTTTTCCCTGCAAAGGTATAAGTGACATTCCTAATTTTTAAGATAGTGAATTAAGAATTATAAACTGTATAGTTGGGTGAGATATCCCAATTGAAGGCTAGTAAAGTAAGATGCTGATACCTTTTAAATGCTGAATTATTTAAAGATATTAACTTTAAGAATTTTACAGTGAAAATAGATTTGCTGCTCTGATTACATTGAAGATTCTTTCCTACATAAAAAATAGATTTTTTTTCCAGTTACTGTGTTGATGTATATTAAGAACTATGTCTGCAAATGACTATTTACTGAAATAGTTTCTTCTGTTATAAGTTATTTTTACTGTAGTGAATGTGTACCCGTATTGAAAATTTAAAGAAAGAAAATCTTAATGATTTCTTTTTCAGGTCATCTAAATCCCACCCAGGACCTGTTGTTCATATAAGTGATAATCCAATGGATGAAGGGAAGGTAGAAATTTTTTTCTAAGTAAATATTTGTTACTTAAATGCATAATAATTTCATTTTTAATGTTCAAACAGGACTACACCTGAGACAAAAAGCTGAAATTTCTAATAAAGTTGGCATATCAACCATATATACTTGTTGACTTGTTATTCCTTATAAAGAACAAGTGAAGAGATTAGAATGATTTGTAATTGGAGGGACAAAATATGCTAGAAGCATAAGTAAACTTTAATAAATACAGTGATAAGTTATTAGTCAGTATTTAGCTTATTCAGACTATTTCCTCTAATTTTATTTATGTAAGCAATGTTTAATAATGTTATCATATGTGGGAGTTACAACTGTATTTCATCTTTCTTGAGTTTTCTTTATAAGTAATCCTAGTTAATAAAGTGAAAGTTTTGTTTGTTTTAGTGGTGCTGGGGTTTAAGCAAGCATTCTCCGACGTGAGCCCACTTCAGTCCTTTTATATTCAGTTTGCTTCTCAGATAAGGGTCTCTTGCTAACTTTGCCTCAGCTCATCTCAGACTCACAGGTATCCTTTATCTCCACTTCTCAGGTAGTTGGGAATACAGGTGTGTGCCATCATGCTTGATCCTAAAGATTTTTTCAAATATACATCAGTTTTTTGTAGTGTGAAACCATTTCATCTCCAATATCTAGCTTTTGTTAGCTTAAGCTTAGTAGTACGTTTAAAATCATGAATTGTATTTTTTGTGAATGGGAGTTCTACTAATGATATATTTCTTACCTGTGCAATATTATGATGTTAATCAAAATAAGTATTTGAAAGCTTATTGCTGACAGAAATCAGTGAAGCAATACTGCATTTTGTAAAGGGATTTATCTGAAGTTTTCATTTCAGTTAGTGGGAGAGGTCAACCTTATAAATTATTTAATACTTTATTGGCACTTGGAAAAGAATAGGATCACTGGACTGTTTGCAGTTAACTTATAACCATGAAGCTATGTGACTTGAAAGCAACTTTATATAAAGCATATATACATTCACCTGAATTCCCATTGCATTTTCTTTCATAGAAGATTTTTTTTTTAAAGTTAGGCATTTTGAGTGGAAGGCATGGTGAGAGAATGAAAACATCCCTCCCACTTGGGATTGCTTACCAAGACATTTCTATACATCCTGCCAGCGACTATCCTTTCTCTGGTCAGCCTCCTAATGACTATCATAGTTCAAGTGCTGGTTCCAACCAGCAGATTCCTGAGCAACGGATGAAGAAATGCCTCTGCAGTCATATCTCATATTTAATAGTTTTATTATTAAAATTAATTATCAACACCACCATGGGTTAATCAGTAGACATGATTAAACCCTGAAGATGTCTCACCAACCTCTATTTTTGTAGCCTCAGATTGTCCCTGGGCTCCCTTAAGGGAGTTCTGGGCACTTACCAAGAGGTAGATAACAAGAAATCAGGAAGTACTGAAGTAGGCAGTTTCAGTGACAGAGCCAGGATGCCAAGAATCACAGAAATAAATAAACACAGAGACTTTTCCTGTCTTCTGACCTGACAACTGCAGAAGGCCAAACACTCAAACACACAATCGGGGTTTTCCACTGGTATCCAAACACTAATCAGCTCTTTGGCCTGATTCACAGTCAGATCTCTTCCATCACAGTCCCCATAGGGCTGTAGGGCTCCTTCATCCAGACACTTCTAGATTTCAGTCTTAATCTTTAATCACTTGTCATTTCAATCTTAAAAGTTGCCTTCATGAGAACTTTCTTTCCTATTGGTCTTCACCATCTCACAGCTTAAATGAAATTTTCTTAGGATGTAGCTTTGAGAACTTCTTTAACCAAGTGGTATGCTGATGCAAATACTTGTTTCTCAGTTTGAACTATTATTTTTTGCTTCTATGCATTTGCAGTTCTTTCTCACCAGTGTCTCTCAGCACATGTACTACTCCAGATTAAAAAGTTCTGTATGTCTTCCTCACATTCCTGACAGAAAGTATTTTCTCTCACTTTTTCATTCATTAGTACTTTAGTCATGCAAATTTCATTTCATTCATTAGTACTTTAGTCATGCAAATTTCATCTTGCATTTTTTTATTCATTGCCTTTTTGAGAAATGTGTACATATCTCAGTTTCTCTGAACTTGACTTTTAGCACAGATATAGCTTTTATGCAAGTCTGTATATTGCATAGTATCCAATGTACTACTAAAATAGTATTATTCAGCATATACTTGATTTATGTAATGAATAAATTATGTGTAACTCTGTCATCCTCATTTTTTAACCTAGCTTTATATACTCAGTTCTATGAGTTATTCTCATTGAAACATTTTTGAAATATTAGGATGTTAAATATATTTTCTAGTCATCAATTTCTTATAGAAAAGTATTTCCAAAGATCTCTGACATTTTTCACTGTAACTTTGGTGAGTGGTTTGACACTTTTCTTATATGTGCAGCATTTACTTAGGGAAAAAGTATGAATATGATACAAGGTAAGAGAACATGTCCTTCAAAGCTAACCTCATGTGTGCCTATCCCTACATGAAGCAAATGTCCTAGCTGAGAAAGATTGGACATTAGTAGAAAATGGCTTAAAATAGTAATAATTACCATTTAGTGAATTTATGCATCAAGCCCTGTGCTAATGTAGTAATTCAAGTCTCTTTTTAAGATTTTTATTACATGTAGTTTTACACAGAGAACAATTGGTTTCCCCTAACTCCTTGTTCAGTAGTTTTCAATAGGTTCTCTATGCCATCTTCATACATATACACAATGTTTTTGATATTATTTACCTTCCAACATTCTCTTCTTTCTTCCTTTTGTTTCCATAAACACTCCCACAGTTATATTCATTGTGTGTGTGTGTGTGTGTGTGTGTGTGTGTGTCTGTGTTTATTCCACAACTAAATGAAAACATTGAGATAATTAGTTTGGCATATCTTGCTCAACATGATATTCAGTTTCATCTGCTTTACTGTAAATGACATAATTTCATTTTTCTTTACAGTTTAATACTCCATGTTATATAGGTATTTTCCTTGTCTGTTTAAATTTTTCAACAGATTTTTAATTAGAACTCCCAATTTTACCAATGACAAATTAGATATTCTATCTTTCACATGTTGGATATGTACTATGCACACTGACTTCTTTCATTTTACCATTGTGATACTTTTTCTCTAATACAAATTGATTATTGATACTGTAGACAGCTGTATCCATATACAGTACCCACTGATGCTGCTTTTTTTTTTAAAAAAAAAAAAAACCCTCAAGTGCTGAGGATTAAATTTAGGACCTTCTGCATGTTACGCAGGGGTTCTACCACTGAATTCTTTAGCTCTTGCTTTTTTGAGACAGGGTCTCACTGCGTAGCCTTGGCTGGTGTCCAAGTCGAGGTTTTCTTGCCTTAGGCTCCCAATATTTAGGCCTTCAAAATAGTACTATTTTAGTTTTTAAATATCAATTATATTTTGAGTCCCTGAATATCAAAGGCATGTAAGTATGCAATGAAATGCTACCATTTGTCATCTATAAAATTAGTTATAATTTTATGCTTAAAGCATAGGAATAAGAATTAGAGTTATTGTTATCAAGTACACATTTTGTATAATAGTTATATTATTCCTAGGTAATGTGCACTTTTCTTTTATTACAGCTTTTGATTGGCTTTGAATCTGGAACAGTAGTCTTATGGGACCTCAAGTCAAAGAAAGCAGACTACAGATATACATATGATGAGGTAAGAGCTAATAAAAGATCTTGTCATTTCTCTAATTCAAAGTACATTCTCTTTTTCTTTCTTTTTTTTTGGGGGGGGGTGGGGAGGGGGTCTGGTCGTGGAGCCTGAACTCTGGGCCTGGGCACTGTCCCTCAGCTCTTCAGCTCAAGGCTAGCTAGTGCTCTACCACTGGAGCCACAGTGCCACTTCCGGCTTTTTTCTTTGTGTTTATGTGGTGCTGAGGAATCGAACCCAGGGCCTCATGCATGCAAGGCAAGCGCTCTACCACTGAGCCACGTTCCCAGCCCTCAAAGTACATTCTCTAAGAACTTAATTTTCAATTTCAGTTTAGGTTTAGTTGAGTTTAGGGTTGCTTTTAACTTAGTTACATAGGTTTTGTAATTGCACTAAAATATTTTCAGTGTTTTTGCTCCCATTAATATAGTCATAGTCCTCTCTGATCCCTCACATTTGTTCATCTAATTTCCTTATAAGTGTTAGGTTTCCAGACTCTGTTTTTCCTGAGAGATTCTGTGCATTTGAAAACAGATAACAGATTCGTAAATATATTTTCTCTTTTATAGAACTGAGAGTATTCTGTAGATATTTATAGTTGCTTACTTTAAGAGCTAAATAAAATCTCTGATCAGTAAATCTTAATCTGAAGCCTTTTCCTTACTCTTTGCTTCCCTGCCTTGCCTTACTCCTTTTTGGTTACATATTTATTGAAGACAGGGTCTCTTAGATGCTGAATATTTCTGTCTCTAGTATCTTTCTTCCTCAAATTGTCTATAAATTGGATAGTTCACCAAGGCTCAATGAGATAAAGGTTTATTTTTCATTTATAAGAATATGATTTCAAGATGCAACTTATACTCTTCTGACAAAAGGAACCTTTTTTCAGCCGTTACTGACACTGGCAGCCAGTGGTGCTCAAGACCTGATCTTTTAAGCATAGTAGTTGCAAAATATATTTTATCACTCCTTGTCTGTATCTGGGACACTTTAGTGAAGGGAAACTTCCTATTATATGCTTTGTGTTTGTACTTTGGCTATTCAGTAATGCAGTTCAAAAACAAAAGCAGGACAAATGCTTGATTCTTTCTTTCAGTACAGTAATCTGAAAATTTGAAATTGAAAAAGCTCTGAAATTTGAAACTTTGGTAACTATTCTAAAGGTTTGGAATTATTTTTTATTTTGGGATTAAGAATGTTCCGTGGGAAAAACCTATACAGGTATTCCAGAATCTGAAAATCAGATACAGGATACTCAAGTGCATTCACTTCAGATTATTCACTAGTAGTTTCTGAGGTAAACAATTTATTCTTAATTTTAGTTTTACTGGGTACTCAGTGATTTAACCACACTTGATATACATTAGTCCACTAAAGTTACTTCCTTACTTTAATAGTCTAATCTCCCATTGGTGAACCTCCTCTAAGTCAACTCCTGAGTCATTCAAAGGACAGCTTTGAATAGCTTTCTTGTTAAGTGATATAATATAAGATACCTACTAATTGTGTATATTCTCAATCAAACTTAGAATAAGATAGTTTGTCATGGAACTATGGCTTCTTTCAATGTTAAATGGAATCTAGAAACGATAATTTTAGACAGTAGTAAGGTTTTTAGTTTCCAGTTGTAACAGAAATTGTTGCTAGGAAGCATATAAATTGTTTTACCTATTCGTTTAAGATAAAATATGCTTCCACATTGAAAGAATTTGGTAACTCAAATAGAAGATGCATTAATTACAGCAATATAAGCATAGTAATCCTGATCATAAAGAGTTTTCCTTTACCACTAATCAAGATAATTTAATTAAATTTTGTTTATTTATTTATTTTTGGAGACTTAAAAAAATGTATGTAGTTCTCCTTCCTCAGCTAGAATTATGGATATTTACCACATGGCCACCCTTCAAGTTGAAGTTCAAATGATAATAATGTGGGACTATATAAAACCTTTCTGGTTTTTTTGAGTCTCTGTAAGAGGTTATTATTCAAGTAATAAAACGTATGATAAGAGCTTGTAATATATAGAATTAAAATATGGACAGTTGCCTAAAAGGCAAAAGAGAATACTGTTATAAGATTATCATACTGGTGTGAAGCACTATAATAATATGTGAAGGCAAAATATATTAAGATGAAGACTGCAGTGCAAGTCCTAAAGTAACAATAGCAGCAATTCCAAAAGATGAAGCAAAAGGGGAAAGATTTTTTTTTTAAATACCCAAAGCAAAGCAGCAGAAGAAAAAGCCATCATCAATAGATTGGAGAAGTAGGGACCAAAACAGAACAATTTAAATGTCATTATATCAACCATCATATTTGTAAATTACATATCCCCAGTAGATACTATCTGTCTATAAGAAATCCACTTTTAAAAATAAAGCTATGGTAGAAAAGATAGAAAAATTAATATTAGCACTAATCAAAAATAGCTGAAAGGGTTATATCAGTAGTATGTATCAAAGTTGTTACTCAACAGCAGTAAAACTATACATGGAAGTCTCATGGGACAGTTCATACTCAGTGCCCTGAGTTAATCTCAGCAACTTTAAAAGTATTTAAATAGGTTCTTTTACTGTGTTAGAATTAAATTAGATATCAATTAGTAAAGAAGAGATAGAAAAATTTTGAAGTACTCCAAAAAGTGAAATACATACTTCTAAAGGTCAAAGAAGAAACACAGAGAACATAGAAACTACTTTGAACTAGAAAAATATTACATTTAGGTATGTGGGTTTCCACTAATGGGTCCACTACAGCATTGAATGCTTATATTAGAAAACAAGAAAAATTGCAAATCAGTGGCTCCAGCATATGCCACAAAAAACTAGAAGATAGAGGAAATTAAATTCAGAATAAGCTGTTGAACTGAAATAAAGAGCAAAGCTTACCAAATAGATAACAGTAAAGAAAATTAAGAAAATAAGTTGGATTTTGTGATGATCATTAAAATTGATAAACCTACAGTCAAAGTGATAAGAAAAGCAAGGACATAAATTAGTGATGCCAGCCATGAAAAAGAAGTTATCACTGTTTGCTATAGAAATAGAGAGGAACTAATGAGGAAATGCTGTGATGGGTCATGTAAGCTGATGCCGTCATAACTGTCTTGGCTTGTGCAAGCACACTGTAGTCACTGAAGTCAGTGAAGAAACTGGATGATGATGGACTTCCTGAAATGCATTAGTGCATGTCTGTAGGTAACACCTAATGCCAGTAAATTCAGCATTTTAAAAGAAATAAATGAATCATAAGTTGTCAAATTCCTGGAAAGTATAAAAGCTTATGCTAAAAGAAATATTTTGAAGCCAGGTGCCGGTGGCTCACGCCTGTAATCCTAGCTACTCAGGAGGCTGAGATCTGAGGATCAAGGTTCAAAGTCACCCCAGGCAGGAAAGTCCATGAAACGCTTATCTCCAATAAACCACCAGAAAACCCGAAGTGGCGCTGTAGCTCAATTGGTAGAGCGCTAGCCTTGAGCTGAAGAGGGACAGTGCTCAGGACTAGAGTGTGTACTTTTGATTTTAAGTTGTTTCCACCTTTGTCACCAATTTTTTCACTAATGTTAGAAATTTTCACTAATGTCAGACTCTTAACCTATTAACTCCCTAATAAATTCTTTCATAATCACAACATTTGTCAGCATTGCATCTTTTAAGGAAATTTTAGGATTATGTATATACTATTTCTGTGAGGATTATGCCAGTAGCTCTACCATTGTCTCTCCCCTCCTTTAAATTTTTTTCTGTATTCTGAACTCATCATGTTCTTCCAAAACTTACTTTCTCTCACAGTATTTCTTTTGTTTTCTATCCATTCTACCTTTTTATTTCTCTTTTCTATATGTTTTCTTTCATTCATTTCATTCATCTGTATTGATGAATTACAGATTCATTCATTGACCTGTGTTTGCTGGTTAATTTTGAACTAGGGTCTTACAAACTTTTCTGCCCAAGCTGGCTTTAAACTATAATCCTGCCACATTCAGCATTCTGAGTAGCTAGCATTTCAGGTATGACTGACTGTCATCTAACAGTTTTCAATTTTTTTTGTCCAAAGTTTTCAAATTTTTTAAATCAAATAACATCAATTGCCTGAATATTTTGTATCCTGTATTTAGAAAAACATTCCAACCAACATAAAATTTCTGAAACCAAATTTGGTTTCTGTTTTATATTTCATATCTTTTCCTTTAAATTTTTGAGTTTTGCTTTTAACTCACCTTGCCTATGATTAGTGACACATTTTATTAGTGGGTTTTATGATTCTCACTTTGGTCATGTAAGTTTTGACTTCCTTCTCTCAAGACTAAAGAAATCATTAGTTTGTTTGTAGCTTATCTCTTTTCATATTTTGTGGAAACAAGCTCACCTATAAGGGATACTAAAGGATTATTTGTTATTAGGTTGTGTTTTTAGTGTCATATGTACATTGCTAGTCAGTTTATTATTTTTAAGATGCTGTTTACAGTTTCATCAGTTATCCTTTGAAAGCATTATATTAAATACTGGAATTCTGAGGTCCACCTAATTTGCTGTGCCCATCATCATTTGAAAGTTTTTGTCTGCTTCATATCAAATGTTTTATAACATTTAGCTTAAATGTATAAATATACAACCCAAATAACTAGACATTGAGTGGGCTGATAGAAAATGTTAACTTTGTGTATAGAACTTTATAGAAATTTTTTTTTTCCTTTTACGGTATTGGAGTTTAAACTTAGACCTTCACATTTACTCGGCTGCTGCTCTCCCAGTTGAGCCACACCTCCAGCCCCTCTAGAGTACTCTTGAGACTTTAGTTGCATAGTTTGTGTGCTGTGTTCTGCAGCTGTTGTAGTTCAATAGCACAGCCTCTTTTCAAGTCAGGTAACTTAACAATGAAAAGCATCAATGTGGCTTAAAAAGTAGTAATTCAAAAGCATAGTGCTTTTTTTTCCCCTTTATTATTTTCTATTTTTATTCTTTTTTGCTTGGGCTTGAACTAAGGGCCTGGGCACTGTCCCTAAACTTATTTTTTCTCAGGGCTAGTGCCTACTACTTGAGCCAGCTTTTTCTGAGTGGTTTGTTGGAGATAAGAGTCTTACAGACTTTCTGCCTGGGCTGGCTTTGAGCCATGATCCTCCAGATCTCAGCTTCCTGAATAGTCTGGATTATAAGCATCAGCCACCAATGCCTGGCTTTTTTTTTTTTCTTTTACAGTACTGAGAATTGCTTTAACAGTACTGAGGCTTGCTTTATTGACTGGCACTTTTACTACTTGAGCCATGCCTCTAGTCCTGCTTTTTGCTGGTCAACTTAGAAATGGAGTTTGGTGGACTCTTCTGCCCCAGCTGTCCACTGACAGCCATCTTCCCCATGACAGCCTCCTTAGTATCTAGGATTACAGTGGAGCCACTAGTACCCAATAGGAATAATGATGTATAAAAATGAAATTTGAAAAACAGAAAGTATTAGAGAAAAAATAAAAGGATAATACATGTTAATCATATTTTTATTTTTTTTATTTGTATTTGTATTTTGTCAGTTGTGGGGGCTGAACCTTGGGCCCGGGCACTGTTCTTCAGCCCAAGGCTAGTGCCCTACCAGTTGAGCCACAGCTCCACTTCCAGCTTTTCTAATCTCTCTCAATCTCTCTCTCTCTCTCTCTCTCTTTCTAAATCATATTTTTAAAAAGTATTTTTCAGATTGTTTTTCTTCAGTTAGCTCAGAAGTGTAACAATTTTCTGTTTTTCTTATCTGTCAATGCATCTAATTTTTTTGTTCCCAATGGGATATTGGCTATAATAGCCTGGTGGTTTATATTTAAGTATGATTTACTATGCAAAAATTTGTAAGAATGCATTTTGTTTTCCTGAACTTGTCAATGCTATGTATCATTGTTCTGTCCTTGTATTGGCTTAAGGGGACAGATAGTTAAAAAAAAGATTTAAAATAGTGTCATTATGGAATAAAATCTCCTTTACATGGTAAAATGTAAAGTTAATGCTGACTTTAGCTTAGGAAATACCACATTTAACAATTAATATTTAAACAATTATTGAGTAGTTTAGTGATGGAATCTTTCTCCTTCTTCTGTAGGCTATTCACTCTGTGGCTTGGCACCATGAAGGAAAGCAGTTTATTTGTAGTCATTCAGATGGCACTTTGACCATATGGAATGTGAGGTCACCTACCAAGCCTGTGCAGACAATCACTCCACATGGTAAGAATCTTCCATTGCAAATGTATCTAAATTGTGGACTAGAGACTGTTCTGTTTAGGTTTGCATTTAGATTTGCCTCTGTGGTTTTAATGAATAAATAAGTAACATAAGGAATGTAACTGGGCACTAGTAATTGGTGCCTACAATCCTAGCTGCTCAGGGGACTGAGAGCTGAGGATCACAGTTTGAAGCCAAGTCAAGCAGGAAAGTCCATGAGATTCATATCTCCAACTAATCATCAATAAGCCAGAAGTGAAGCCAGGTGCCAGTGGCTCATGCCTATAATCCTAGCTACTCAGGAGGCTGATATCAGAGGATCTCGGTTCAAAGGCAGCCCAGGCACAAAAGTCCATGAGACTCTTACCTTCATTTAACCACCAGAAAACCGGAAGTGGCTCTGTGGTTCAAATGGTAGAGGGCTCTCCTTGAACTGAAGAGCTGAGGGACAGCGCCAAGGCCCAGAGTTCAAGCCCCAGGACCGAAAAAAATTATTTACCAATATAAAGCTTTTTTTAAAATCTTACATCCCTTTATACTTACTAAGCAAACATCTCCTTTACTCCTCAACAATACTATAACAGTTGCTGGCCACTGGTGGCTCATACCTCTAATCCTAACCACTGGGGCTTGAACTCAGCCTGGGCTCTGTCCCTCAGCTCTTCAGCTCAAGGAGAGTGCTCTACCACTTGAGCCACAGCACCACTTCCGGTTTTCTGGTGGTTTATTGGAAATGAGTCTCATGGACTTTTCTACCAGGGCTGGCTTTGAACCACGATCCTCAGATCTCAGCTTCCTGAGTAGCTAGGATTACAGGCGTGAGCCACCGGCACCTGGCTATCATGTTTTTTGAATGTGCAAATTTAGTTGAATTCCCCTTTGTTCATTGACTCTCTCAAGTCATTTATTATGATTGTCTATGGATTCTGTATTTTTGTGGTAAATAGATGGTAAGTTCTGCTTTTGTCTTTTGGCCATTTCTTTTCCTATGACAGATAAGTGTTTGTTATTTAGGAGGGAATAATTGTGGTAGGCGTTAGATTAAGGGTCACTGAAAAAAATGAAAAGTTTGCCTAACTGCAAGCCAATTTAAAATAAGATGAAGCATGAAGAATTATGTTTGTGTGCTTCTAAGATTTACCTGAAGCATAAAAATAAAAGGATGCCTATGAAAAGACTTACTGGATACACATACTTAAATAAGGCTTTTACTTAAGGGTAGAAGAAAGAAAATTCAGGACAGTATTCTAAAACATACCACATGCAAACTCCCCTTGGGTGGGATTGTGTTGTCTTCAGCTGCCACCACCAGTCTCTGGTTTCTGAGGAGCTCCAGTAGAAACTCTGAGTGACACACATTAAGTGACTAATTCAGTCTATCCAGTCAGTGTGTGGAAGTTTACCCAGGGGAGTTTGACTTTCAACATACATTATAAACCTACTGGCTAAGAGTCAAATCCCAGCTATACAGGCATGCTAATCCCCAGCTATAAATTAAATCTCTCTCCAACCTCACTAAGCAAAGTACACTCTTTTTCACTTCAGACTAGCATTATTAACATCAGCAATCTGGTGTTGCAGTTTTCATTTTATTTTTGTATAAAAATCACTGTCCAGTGAGAATATAATGTGAACCACATGTGTAATTTTAAGTCGACTCTGAGCCATAGTAAGGACAGTAAAATGAATCTGATACATTAATTTTAATAGTAAAATTTATTTAACCCCAGATGTGCAAAAATATTTCATCCTGTAGTCAAACATATAAACTTGAAATATTTCACATTTTTTATTCTTTAAAATTCAGTATGTATTTTTCTGTTGCATTTCCAGACACACTTTGAGTACTCAATAATCACATGCAACTCGTGGTTGCTGTATTGGATAATTGCTCTATTTTGAGAACATAAATGCAGTGTACCAGCTATATTAGTTAGAAAATTCATCCTCGATTGTAAATGGCAAAATTAAAAGCGCAAGAGAGTTTTATTAATAATCTTCATTTTTCAAATGAATCTTTCATCATTCCACAGACATTCATTGAGCACCTCATGACACTTCTGGACCAGAGATTAAATGCTGGAAATACATTGTCCTTGAAGAGCTCAGAGCTCAGATTTACTGAAAATGATCTATTAACTGAAAATATTACAGTGATAAAGGCAAGCATATTATGATATTGAAGTAGAGAAGTAGTAGCTGTGGATTCAGGTGAAGCATATAGGAATACTTCATAAATTCAGGACATCAGAGTTAAGTCTTAAAGGAGCATGGTGCTGGATTTTGGTGAAAAGCTACAAAAAGGCTCAAAGATGTAGTTAAAACAAGTATTCAAATGTGTTTTCTTTCATGCGATTGTTTCTAACATATTTATAAGATGATTTCTTTGTTGCTTTGTATGTCCCTCCTCCATGGTATAATCCCTGCTTTCATTGTATTTGATATTGGTATAATTTGTGGAGGGGAAGGGCAAAAACAAATTGTTTAAATAGGGATACAGGTGGACCCATTGCAACAATGAGATGTATAAGTCGTTATGTTGAAAAACGAACTTTACAACTTTGGCGAGGTGGGGGATGGGGGGAGATGGGAAGGGAAACAAAGGAGGAGGCAACCATGCTTGATAAGAAATGTACTCATTACCTTGCCCATGTAATTGTAACCCCTCTGTACAAAAAAAATTTTTTTTAAGGGTGTTTAAGGGAAACTACTAGTAGTGAATAATAGAATTTAAATTTCTTTTGGGCAAGTAACAAGAAATGAAAGCAGAGCCATGTACCAGAGGCAAAGATTATTTATCAGAGTATGCTAAAAAATAGTGATAGAGTGCTTGCCCTGCGTGCAAGAGGTCCTGGGTTCGATTCCTCAGCACCAGTCAGAAATAACCAGAAGTGGCCCTGTGGCTAAGTGGTACAGCACTACCCTTGAGCTGAAGAGCTAAGGGACAGCGTCCAGGCCGAGTTCAGGCCCCACAATTGACAAAAACAAAACAACAACAACAACAACAAAAAACAACAGTGTGAACTTCGTCCAGGTACCCATGGATCACATTTGTAATCCTAGCTACTCAAGGAGGCTGAGATCTGAGGATCACTGTTTGAAGCAAGCCCAGGCAGGAAGTCCTTGAGACTCTTATCTCCAATAAACTACTCTATCCCCCGAAAAAAGCCAGAAGTAGTACTCTGATTCAAGTGGTAGAGGGCTAGCCTTGAGCAAAAGAAGTATGGTCCTGACTTCAAACACTAGGACTAGTTCATGTATGTGCATATGCGTTAACACACACACACACACACAATGTGCACTTTATGTTGGACATCTAGTAAATGAGTTGGCTGTGAAAAACATAAAAATTATATTTCAAAAAGGCAAATAGTGGTGTATCAGATGACCTTAGGCAAAGCATATGGCAATTTCAATTATGACTGGAAATAGGAAAAGAGAATATGCTTGAATGAAATTCTGGAATTTGTGTTAGCAGGATTTTGTGCAGTTCAGTATACCTGAATACTGAAAAGCAATAGGAAAACAGTAATGGTAAGCATCATTAAGAAAGCAGATGTGGCATAGAGGCTTATGTGATTTATTAAGCCAAGTTTTATCATTAGTAAGATGTTCTCAGTGATTTGTCATGGCAATTTAAAGGGACTTGTTCTTGTAGTAGCAAAGTATGAAGAAGTAAGATGACATCTAGTGGTGAAATCTGCTGCTTCTCTAAATGTTCCTTAGGTGTGCTGTATAAAATCATCACTAATAGCTTTATTAGTTAGTTCTAGTTAGAAAATAATTAGTGTAACATTACAGATGAATAAACGTATCAAGCAGTAATCAATAACATTTGAAACACTGAAGTTGGAAAAGAATATCAGAATATGCACATCAAAAGAACTTACTGGTTCTAAGTACAATTAATAAAGAATCATCACTGTAAAAACATCAAGAGGCTGGGGAGGTGACGCAGTGGTAGCATGCTTACCTTGCATGCATGAGGCCCTGGGTTCGATTCCTCAGCACCGCATAACCAGAAAAAGCCAGAAGTGTGGTGTTGTGGCTCAAGTGGTAAAGCTGAAGAGCTGAGGGACCAGTGCCCAGGCCCAGAGTTCAGGCCCCATGACTGACCAAAAAAATAAAAATAAAAAAATCACTAATTTTTATTTATACAGATAAGGAGAATAGTCTATTTAAAATACTTGCAGGGAGAAAAAAAGGAAAACTAACTTAAAGGGTATCAACAGTTTATTGTAGTTTATTGTAAGCCAGGAATGCTACAACGCGATGCAAACACTGTGAAAAGACTATTGAACAAGAGGCAAGCTGTGTACCAGTGGCTCGCATGTGTAATTCTTGGTACTCAGGATGCCGAGAACTGAGGAGTGAGGTTCAAAATCAGCCTTGGTAAGAAAATCTGTGAGTTATCGCAATTAACCACCCAAAAGCTCTAACAGAGCTATGGTTCAAGTGGTAGAGCACTAGCTTTGAGCAAAAGAAGCTCAGGGACAGCACCCAAGCTGAGTTCAAGCCATTTCTTCTGAAGGGCTGTTGAATAAGATAAGAGGGTTTTTATACTTTACCTGTTTTTATGCAAGATCTATTTATATATACCATCCTGTGACTTCTTTTAGAAATTGTTCCAGCCTCTGAAAGATTGTATTGAATACTGAAATAAGTTAAAGGACTGAATACTTATATATCTGAATAATTGATATCTGAATATCTGAATAATTGATTTACCTTATAAAAGAATTCATATAACAAAATAATTTTGAAGATAAATATAAAGCTGGGATCTGTAATGCTGAATTATACCACATTAGCACTTCCATTTGAGTTGTGCATGGAAGAGGAAGGAAAATTCTTTACTAAAAGTTCTATTGTCTCTTAGATGGAAAAAGATTGAAATTCATTGTTTCTTGAAAAACAGGAGTCAACGTTTCAGATTTAAGCTTCCCTTTCGTGTATCTTTCTTTTTTTTCTGATTTCTCCCTTCCGGGTCAACCATGCAGTCCTCCTCTGTGGCCCCTTCCTGTGCCTTTGTTTCTAATTCTTTGATCTGGTTCTACCTTCCCTACTTCTTGGTTCTTAAAAATTGGGCTACCAAAGGTTCAAGATTCCACTTTACCATCATTTCTTATAAGAAGGAGAAGCAATAATCTTATATAGACATTAATTTATTTGTAAAAATTCACATTATAAAGGTCACATTTCATATCAATAGAGAAACAATGATGGTTCCATAAATAGTGCTGGTAACTAGATAATGGTGTAAGAACTCAAACTATGTTCTTCAATGTGTTCCTTTTATTGTCCACAGTTATACTGCAGACTTTAAAGTCCTACTCAAGTGATAGCTAGTTTATTAATTAGAGCAGAGATACATTCTAGTTTATTAATTAGAGCAGAGATAAATTCTCTGTGCAAAATATTAATCAGAAATTAATTAAATATAACAAAACCATAAAACAAATATGAGCAACTGAAAAGGATGGCATGTGATTTGAGTGGGAAAAATCTTATAAGCTTAAAACTAAAGACACGTATTATCTAAAAAGGCTTGTTTTTTACATACATACATACATACACACACATACACACACAAATATATCATCACATGTAAGTTACATCATAATACAGTCTCTTCTCCTGGGACTTTACCATATTAGAGACCTACCAGTATAAGTTAGGGCAGAACTTATAGATGTTCTTTCAAAATGTATAGATTTCTAAAATTAGTATGTATTAATATACACATGTAAACATGAGATTTTTTTTATGATCATTGTTTTATAAAATTAGAGAATTTTTTTTCATCCTACTCTTCTGGATCCACTATATTTTAAGAAAGCCCCTTCAGGTCCCCTGGTGTAGCTCTAGTTCTGTTGTTTTAATGATTTAATAGTTGGTGATTTGTTTCAATACTTACCTTTTTCAAATTGCTGGTATTCACTTTGTCTCTGGCTTTTTTAATCATTGAAAATTATGCTATAGTACTGTCCTTGTATATATATTCCCTAAGAATAAATCCTTTCCTTTCTATGGAGTAAATATATAGGAGTACAGGTGCTTTGTTGTAGAAAGTTGTCTCCTTCATAATCAGCAGTCGAGCCATCTAAGTCTGGGCTTTTCTTTGTGGGTAGTGTTTTTGTTTAGTTTTGTCTCCTTATATTTCTTTCAGATTGTTTGTTTCTTCTTGAATTGGTTCAGTAATAATGTTTTTCTATTAATTTGTTCTTTTCTTCTAAGGTGTCCCTTTGGTTGACACACAGTTGTTCATAGATTCTTTTGTAATTTTGTTTCTGGTTCTGCAGTTTTGAGTCTTAGTTCTTTGTTTCCTGAGCAATTGACATAAATAAAGATTTTCCACTTATATTATTCCATTTCAAAGGGTCTTCTGATTTTCTCTTGATACTGTCTTTTAACCACTGGCTATTTAATAATGTGTAATTTTCACTTTTTTTTTTTAGTATCTCCCATTTTTTCCACTCTGCATTTCTAACTTCATTCTAATTTGATTGGCACATTTGTTTTTATATATATTCTTTAAAATTTATTGAGATATATTTTATGGTCTAACATATAGTCTACTCAAAATGTTTTATCTATACTAAAATAGAATAGATTGTCTATTACGTCTAAAGTTGTTGAAACTTGGGTTTCCTTGTGGATCTTCTGTTCATTTTCCTACATTATTGAAAGTGAATTCTTAGTTTCTAACAAGTGCTGTTGAACTGTCTATTTTCTCCTTATTTTTCATCAGCTTTTGCTTTATATGTTTTGATGCTTTGATATTAGGTACATATATGTTCTGAATTGTCACGTTTTCCTGATGTACTGACCCTTCGCAAATCGATCTTCTAGACGCTGATGGAATTTCAAATTGGCACAACCTTTCTGGAATACAGTTTTTCCCAGATAATTTTTTCTCTGCCTTATCTCACAGAAACAGCCATTAATTTATTCACTCATTAATTATTAGATGCCACTCTATATACTAAGAGTGTTTACCATGACAATTACAACAGAACACATACATGTGTGTGAAAAACTTTGCTTCCCTAGAAAGCAAACCCAAACAATAAACAATAACTGAGATATAAAGGATATTAGAATGTAATATGTGCTGTGAAGAAGAAATAAATCCATGAGAGAGGACAGGTGTATGTTGGGGATTCTCAAAGTATCTCCAAATTTTGTGACTTGCCAGGATAAATACATATAACAGTATTAAGAGTAATAAATCTCTAAAGCAAGCTATTCTTTTATTTTAGTTTCCTATAGTTTCTATTATGAACCTTTAGAAATGTATCACTTAAATCATTAAAAATCTAAGTGAGTTTCTGATACATAAAGGTTGGTATATTTTACTTAATTTGATTTCACTTTATGTGCACAATTGATATAAGAATGTAAAGTGACTTAGTATTTTAGAATTTAATGCAAGAAAATGTATTTTAGGAAAGCAGTTAAAGGATGGGAAGAAGCCAGAGCCATGCAAACCTATCCTCAAGGTGGAATTCAAGACAACTAGATCTGGGTAAGATTTTCTTTCATTGCCAATATTGTTGTTTGTAATTACTCAAATGGCATTTTACTATTAGTTTTGAAGACCTACTTTAAAATGGCCTGCTCTAGTCTTGAGTTTTATCACATTTTTATTTTAAACAAAATAACAAAAACAGGTAAATTTAGGATGAAATACTTTTTTCCTGGTTTTAGTAGTCTTGGAAAGTTATAATTATTATTCTTGTCAAACTTCATATATTTTGTTAAATTTTAGAAACAATAATTTTTATTTCCTGGTGAAAAACAGTATAAGCAGTGAAGGGAAGAAGATTTATAACTTCATTTACCTATATATGTTACTTCTGAAAGCTTTATTCTTTAGCAAGTAAACCCCATAAGAATACTTGGTGGTCACTAAAGTAAATGCAGTTTAATGTAACCAGAGGTTGTCAGTCATTTGAAGACACTGTAAGTATATGAATTAGGTATGAGAATGAGATAGTTTTTACAATGTAAATAAAATATCTTGTGTGTACCCAATGTTATATTTAAGTATAAAATATATAAAATGTAACTTTTTAAATTCTTCTTTAAAAGTTCTACATCTCTTTAAACTTCAAAGAAACTTTATTTTTTAGTTTCTGTTATTAATTACCTAGTCAAAATCTGTGTGAACTTATGTAGTATAGGGAAGTGGCTCTCAAATTGTGATCACTAGAAGAATGTTTTTAATTCATCCCTCAGTGTTTAAAATATCATTTTTTCCCCTGGTCCTTAAATTAGGATCAGTTTTGTTTAGCTGCTATTTTTGGTAATCCTGTTTTTATATGACAGCTCCAAAAGCCTAGTAAAAAAAATTCATTAATAATTTTCAGTTTACTTTTCATTCTAACCAATTGTTTTAGTCAGTGTTCTGACAATTTCCTAAAATCCCTGAAGAAATAAAAAAAAAAATACAAAAAAGAAAAATCCCTTCTTTGTAAAGAAGAAAGGTTTCTCTTTCCTCACAGTGTTGAGATTTTAGCCCATAGTCAGTTGGCCTATGTTTCACAGCCAGTGTCCCCAACATGTGTGTGTATACCTATCATACATGTATACATCTATACATAGGCATGTATACATGCATGTGCATACAGTTATCTATGCCCTCACCATATATCTTGATTGAGAGTGCATGGCAGAGGAAGCTGCTCATTTCGTAAGGAAATGAAGAGGGAAGAGAAGGTGTTGTGGTCCCAACGTCTCCTGTCCCTGACTGCACTGCTTCCCAGTAGGCCCTAGCTCTTGAAGGTTCCATCACTTCCTTTATGGTACTGTAGGCTGGGTACTGAGCCTTCAACACATGGGACTCAGGGACACTTACACAAATGATAGAATCATGAATGTACATGCCCCTATTGAACTTGACATATAATCAGCAAAATAAGCTTTTATCTTGTCAAAAAATTATCCATTTGATGCCTACTATGAGAGCATAGATTTCAAATTAGTTATTATTTACATTAGAAATTTGTCAAAATTGTGTTTCTGTCTCTGCAATTGAATTGCTTTTTGTTTTTTGAGGTTATTTTTGGCAGTTGTGGGGCTTAAACTCTGGGCCTGGGCGCTGTCCCTCAGCTCTTTAGCTCAAGGCAAATGCCCTACCACCTGAGCCACAGCACCACTTCTGGTTTTTTGGTGGTTAGTTGGAGATAAGAGTCTCATGGACTTTCCTGACCAGGCTGGCTTTGAACCATGATTCTCAGATCCCAGCCTCTTAAGTAGCTAGGATTACAGGCATGAGCTACTAGCGCCTGGCAAATTGTATTTTTTTGTCTGAAAAAAATGCTGAATGTTCAGAAGATTACTAATACAAGCAGTAATGTAGACATTGATATATGAGATTGACAGTTTAGCGCTTAATCCTCATTTCCCAATATATGTAGAAAAAGTGTATATCATAGAAATACTCATGAGGTCCCATATTCTTCTAGCATTTTCACTGAAATCCAAGGGATTTATTGATTGTAACTTTTAAGGCAAAGTGTCATTTTTTTGATTGGCTTTATTATTTGATTCTCCTTAGCTTTATTGAGTCTTGTCCTGGTTCAAAGAAGTTAGGTTTTGATAGTATATCTGCCAAAATACTTGGGGAAAAAAAAGTTTTCAGGTTGGTAGGAAGTTACTTTAGTGGCCCTTTGCTCAGTTGTTAGGAGTGATCTGTAGCTAGAGCATTTCTTGATGTATCATGAAAAGTCAGTGCATTACATTTATTAGATTCTTGAAGACATTAAGATATTTTTCTGTGAGCTTTGTTGACTAGTCCTGGGTAGGGCTAGAGTAAAAGCCATGCATTCAACTCAAACTGGATAAACCCAGGGAAAAATTTTATGACTTTTCTGGAGGGAATAAAAGAAAAAGTGATAGGGACCACGAGGAAGTCTGAGGATCAAATTGGGTCACCTATCATTTTTATTGCTGCTTAATTTTGAAGTAATTTACTTGGATTTTATTAAAATCCAATTAGAAATTCCATATGGGATTATTCAACTGTGAGGTGTGTGAAACTTTTAGATTTAAGATTTCATTGTTTCACTATGTAAAATTATGATACATCAAAAAATAATCTTTTTGCCATTTTATAATCCTAACTGCATTTTATTTTCAGGGAACCTTTTATTATTTTATCAGGAGGTTTATCATATGATACTGTAGGAAGAAGACCTTGCTTAACAGTGATGCATGGGAAAAGTACAGCTGTGCTGGAAATGGACTATTCAATTGTTGATTTCCTAACACTCTGTGAAACTCCATACCCCAATGGTAAGCTTTGTGTCTTTCAGTCTCATTCTCCATGACCATTGGTATTTAAAACAAACCATTGGTACTTAAAACCTCAATTGCCTAAAGTAGTTTCCTTACCCTATTGTGCTAATTCTTTTAGAATTACCTTAGACTGCAGATTTTATTTCATTGATTTGTTTTGATTAATAAACTTTGTTTAATATCACATATAAGTGTAGATTTATTTAATGAAAAACTTACTTGAAATGCAGAACCAGAATGCTCAATACTTGAGAATGAATAAAATTAAAACCAATTAGCAAATTTTTGTTATGTATCCTGTTGTCCTCTTGCATACTAAAACTTTAGTTTGTGCATTGTTTCCTTTTATAGATTTCCAAGAACCATATGCTGTTGTTGTTCTTCTAGAAAAGGATTTAGTACTAATAGACCTTGCACAGAATGGGTAAGAACATTGGGTGAGCAATTCCATGTAGTGGAAAAGATCTCTTTTAGTGTAAGATTAACTATTTGTTTCTTTTTAGTATTGTATTTATATCTACAACTTTGCTGTCTACTAAAACTCCAGACCCCCATCCTTTTACCTGTTAAATTTCTCTGTGATATTGAATCTCATATAATTTACATTCTTCTAAAATCAAATTTTGTTGAATTTCTGACATTTCATATTTCAGCTTCATACTTCCTTGTCCTGATATCTTGAATGCACAAAATCGGCCTGTCTAAAATTGATTCATCATAATTTATTTATAATTAACCTTTCAGTCTCTCTGTTTCCTTTTGGGTGCAATGTGTTTTATATACCATTGACTCATTAGTTATTACAAGCATCACTAATCTTGTTACTCTTCTGTTTAAGCTATCATTTGCTCTTGGATTTTTTTTTTTATTCGTTTGTTTTTTTCAGCTTGTTACTTGAAAAAGTGATACTTTTTTTTTTTTTTTTAAAGTGATACCTGCTAACCTGGCCTCTTCCTATAGTGACATTACTTCATAGGAAAACTGAAAACTTCGCAGAGTGTTAAAGAGATATCACATTTTATACTTACATAATTCTCACCAGTCATGGGCTTCCCCACCCAAAATGTTCCCCTATTTTATGGTAATCTCTTTTTCCCTCCTTTATATCTAGATTCCACATATGAGAGAAAACATGTGGTACCTTCTTTCTGAGTATGGTTTATTGCACTTAACATGATTATCTTTAGGTCCATCAATTTTCTTGGGGATGTATAATTTTAGTCTTCTTTATGGCTGAAAACATTCTGTATCCATCCATCAGTTTATGGGCATCTGGGCAGATTCTAAACAGTTTTTGTTTGAGATTCCTTTTTCCCCACATCCTTGCTAGCATTTGTTGTTTTTTCCTGATAATAACTTAGAATAATTTATTATTTATAGGATTTTGTTATTCTACTTCCATAGGAACTAGTTGAGTCTTTTCACATGTAGTCTGCACTAAAATATATATCTGAGTCAAAAATAATACTGTCAAAGTAATGTGATAGGTCATTTTATTTAAGGAAAGTATTAGTTAAATGTATAGTAGAGTCATTGAACTAAACAAAGATTTGTCCTACAAATAGAAGGAAGTTGTCTGACTTTGTTACTGCACATTTTGGTTTGTGTTTTGCCTTCTGTTTGAGGATAAGGATGGCAGTTGTTGAGTTTCTTTGGTGATCTATAAAGGGCTTTTCTTAAAGTATTTCCAACTTCCTTTAAATCACTGTTACAGGAAACCTAATCAGTATTCCTATATTTTACAGAATAACCATTTTGTATTTTTAAAAGATTTTTAGCTAGTTCCTGTTTTCTAGAAATTTTTAAGTGATTATTCTTCATTCTAAGAACTGTTACTGTGTGTTTAGATAGGCTTTTGCTTTAATTTTATGATTTTTTAAATGTTTTTTATTATGAAAATACTGTACAGAGGGGTTACAGTTACATGAGCAAGGTAATGAGTACATTTCCTATCAAGCATTGTTGCCTCCTCCTTTGTTTTTCCCCTACCATCCCTTCCCTCCCACCTCCACAAAACTGCACCCTCCCCACTCCCCCCACCCCCGCCTAAATTGTAAAGTTTGTTTTTCAACATAATGTCTTCTACATCTCATTGTTGCAGTGAGTCAACCTGTATTCCTATTTAAACATTTTGTTTTTTCCCTTCCCCTCCCCAAATTATACTGACATTAAATACAATGAAAACAGGGGTTATACAACCATAGAGGAGGGACATACAAAGCAACAACAAAAAAAAAATCACATGGTACCTTTTAAATATGTTAGAAACAATAGGAAGAAAGAAAAAACGACTTGTGCCCCTATCCTGGGGTTCATTTCGCTTAACTTCATCTTATCTGGTCATATGTACATAGCTTTTGACCTTTTCTACTTGTCCCAGACATATACTAGTTATTGCAAATAAGGGAAGCCATGGAACCTATGTTTCTTTGGGCCTGGCTTACTTCACTTAATATAATTTTTTCCAAGTCTTTCCATTTCCTAACAAATGGGCAGTATCATTCTTTCTGATGGAGGCATAGAATTCCATTGTGTGTGTATATATATGTATAGTATATATGGGTATATATATATATACATCTGTATATATATATATATATATATATATACATATATACATCTGTATATATATATATATATACATCTGTATGTATATATATACCACATTTCTTGATCCATAATTTTATGATTTTTAAAAGGATTTTTGCTTTATTGAATTAGATAATTTCACATCTAGAAAACTTTAAAGTGCATTGACATTTTAGATGGTTATTAAACTAAGACGCATTAGTCAGTTTTTGTTGCTGTGACAAATACCTAAGAGAAACCGCTTAAGGGAGGGAAGATTGATTTTGGCTCACAGTTTTAGAGGTTTCGGTGGTGAGGGAGAGCTTTGTGATGGCGAGTGTGTAGAGCAGCAGAGGCTGCTCACTGCTTAGCAGCCAGGAAGCAGTGAAGAGTAATAATCCCTATACTACAGGTTTTCCTTCTTCACCACTTAATACCATTCCAGCTTCCAGCCACCCATATTCAGGGCAAGTCTTTCCTTCCTTGATGATCTTAGGGACAAACCCACTCACAGAGCAACCCAAAAGTGTGCCTATTCTCCTAGGCATCTATCTCTAAATCCAATCAAGGTGACAGTCAAGATTAATTTTATCAGATAATATTTTGGTTTTAATATTAGATTACATATATTGTTGGTGATAAAACTGAAAATCTGTATTGGCTGATATAAGTAAGTATTTTTTTTTGAAAACTATATAACTTAATGATTAAGAACAGAGCTTAAATTCTTCTACAAGTACTTTCTGGCATGCCTTTGGCACATTACTTTCTAAGTGTTTGTCCTTAAGAAAATGCTTACATTATTATAAGTTTGGTACAGTAAATAAATGAGAAAAAGATGGATAATCTTTGTGAGGAGGAAACCTTTTTATCTGCCAAGGGCCATTAGGATATTTTTAACATCATTCATGGACATGGATATGGGCAGATTACCATGGGCAGCCATTGAGAAGCATTTATAGAGCCTGTGTGTCTGTCCTTCCTGTACCGAATGATTTCTCAGGCATTATGTGGCTCAAAAGCCAGAGGCTTCCTACCCCTCTTAGTATAGGACATGTGGTATATAGCTGCAACTAGTTTATTAATTTATTGTTGTAACTGAGCATCTTTTATTTTTAAAAAACTTGTTTACATAAACTAAATATTTGTAGCAGAATGTATATTTGTAAATATTTTCATGTCATGTTAATTACAAGTTATTGCTCATTACATAATGTTTTTCTTTTTCCTGTTATTAAAGATATCCTATATTTGAAAATCCTTACCCTTTGAGTATACACGAATCCCCTGTTACATGTTGCGAATATTTTGCTGACTGTCCTGTGGACCTTATTCCTGCACTTTATTCTGTTGGCGCTAGACAGAAACGTCAAGGTTACAGCAAAAAGGTATTAACAGGACTTTCAATACTTAATGTGACATTTCAGTATTTTAAATTTAAAACTTTGAGGTATGGAAAAAGGGATAAGACAATCATTTTTGGAAGTAAAATATGTTTTCTGTCTTCAGTTGTATATTATATAACAGTACATGTTAAATGTGCATGAAAATACACAGAACATGCTTACAAGTGGCTTTATACAGTGACTTTTTTTTTTTTTTTAAGGAATGGCCCATTAACGGCGGTAACTGGGGCTTGGGTGCTCAAAGTTACCCAGAAATAATTATTACAGGGTAAGTATAAGTCTATTTTCACCAAATAAATGACTAGTAGCTAAGTGTAATCAAGATTACACGAGGTTTAGTTACTTTGGCAGGTAGAGCTTTTTGTTTTGTTACAGTATAGTAAATAACATTGTCAGGTATCTGTCTATTTACTCAATGTTTACCTTTACTCATCTTGGTGACTATCTTTTAAAATAGGAATATATTTGGAAGAAGAAGAAAGAGTATTTTTTTTTATCCTTTCCTTCACATTTTCATTCCCTTTGTTTTTTATAGGCATGCTGACGGGTCAGTTAAATTCTGGGATGCTTCTGCAAGTAAGTGTTCTGAGTATTTGTCATATTGTCATAGGTCATACCTTTGTTAGGTCCTGTTTTATAATAATTAACTAGCATTAGCTGTTTTATAATAATTTATAGTATATGTTATTGAAATTTGTAGATTATAAATTTAATTTACTAATTTGTCAAGTTATATGTTTCCAGTTTTAAGAATAATGATACTTTTGAAGTTATTAGTGAATCAAGAATATTTCTCAATGGATGTATTCTAGTGCTTTCTCCAAAATATCTTCAAACCTTCTCTTCAATATCAGAAACAGAAACATGTATTTCAAATTAATATAAATATATATTGATATAAGTTTAGACATACAAATGTTTGCATTGTCTTTGTGAAATATATGTAGCAATTTCATAATATCAAAAAAGGAAGGAGAGAGTGACTTTTATATATGATAAATATTCATAATCGTCCATTTATTTATGATACCTTATATGTATTACTGATTTAACTAATTGATCCTTTGTAGTAAAATGTATAACAGGATATCATCTTTTTTCCAGTAACTTTACAAGTACTATATAAATTAAAAACATCTAAAGTATTTGAAAAGTCAAGAAATAAAGAAGACAAACCAAGCACAGACATTGTTGATGAAGATCCGTATGCCATTCAGATCATCTCCTGGTGCCCAGAGAGTAGAATGCTGTGCATAGCTGGAGTTTCAGCTCATGTCATTATTTATAGATTCAGCAAACAGGAAGTGATTACTGAAGTCATTCCGGTATTATTAGTCTTTCAAATTGCTTTCCATGTCAACAGTCTGATATTTTTTAATTTGTCAATTGTTTTTTCCTAGTATTTTGTTACTGAAGTCTTTCTGGTATTATTAGTCTTTTAAATTGCTTTCCATGTCAACAGTCTGATATTTTTTAATTTGTCAATTGTTTTTTTCCTAGTATTTTGTAAATATCTTCATATTTATATTATATCTTTTATAAAAATATGCATACTAGTGTGGAAATATCACCCTGAAATCCTCCTTGTATAAATAATGTATGCTAATAAAACAGAAAGAAAAATAGTATTTGAGGAATATATGTGAAGTGGATATTTCAGTTGTTAAGTATATTATGTATTTAAGAAAAACTAACACTAGTATGTGTATTTGCTAATATAGTGTTCTTTAAATTGTAAAATCCTTTATGCTTTATTTTTTTAATTTATGCTTTATTTTTTAAAAAGCTGAATCAGAAACTTTTTGCTTTTAACTCTAGAAATCATGATAAATTTTTCTTTTCTTTTTTTTTTTGGGTCCGGTTGTGGTGCCTGAACTCTGGGCTTGGGCTCTGTCCCTCAGCTCTTCAGCTCAAGGCTAGCACGCTACCACTTGAGCCATAGTACCACTTCCAGCTTTTTTTTTTTTTTCTGCTTATGGGGTGCTGAGGAATCGAACCCAGGGCCTCATGCATGCAGGGCAAGCGCTCTACCACTGAGCCACCTTCCCAGTCCCATGCTAAATTTTTATCTTTAGGAAGATAAGATGACTATAGTAATTACTTTTATGACAGATGCTTGAGGTTCGATTGTTGTATGAAATAAATGATGTGGAAACTCCAGAGAGTGAGCAGCCACCACCCTTGTCGACGCCTGTAGGAGGTTCCAATCCACAACCCATTCCCCCTCAGTCTCATCCATCCACCAGTAGCAGTTCATCTGATGGGCTTCGTGACAATGTTCCTTGCTTAAAGTAAGTTATAAAAGAAATAGAACTGTTTCACATTGATCTTTTTAGATAAGTTTTAAGCACTTATAAATCTATGGTAAAATTGTCTTACATTGGAATAAATGACATGAGAATGACTTTTCCTCTGTTCTGCTGTGTTTAATACAACTTACTTTTTTATAGTATAAGAGAAATGATGGTTCCATTTAATACCCTTAAAATAGTAAGCTTTTTCTCAAGGGATTATTTCTATACATGTTGCTCAGTCTTCTAAGTCCACCCATGTTTTTAGTCTGGATTTATGTGTAGCTTTATATGTAGACCACTCTGAATATTCTTTATTTTTCAGCCTTTAAATTAAACTCCATCTTCTTATTTTATTTTTCACCTCCTTCTAGCAATGTTATAGTCTTTATTTAAAACCTTTTAATGTAGTATTTTAGATTTATATCTATCTTGTTTTTAAACTGAGAAAATTGGATGAAATTTTCCTGTTCTTCTTTTCTGTTCAAGTAAAATCTTGAATGGTTAAATTAAGCAATAAATGAAGAGTTAAAATTGTTGAAGAAATCCAGGATGACTTTGTGATCATATATGAGAATGGTGGGTGTCATGGAGTTTTGGAGCCACAGTTTGGTAAAAGAATTTGTCGTCAGGATAATAAGAGAAACAAAAATCAGGACAGAAGAGATATCTTTTCAGTCTCTGACCCTATAACTGAAATAATTCTGGAGCCTGTGGCAGAGGTCTGAGTTGGATACTCCTGTTTTTAAGGGTTACAGATGCCCATATAAAAGGATAAGTATCCAGGTTGTTTGCAGATCTAGAAATGCCAAAAATAGAATGGCTGTGGTACAACTCCATATCCAGCCGAAAAGTAAGCAGACATGGCTTTGCTGTCATATAACTATTCTTATGAAATTACAAAGTCTTGGCTGAAGATACTTTGGAAGGCACAAGGGACTCCCTTTGGACTCTGACACTATTCCTTTTGGTTTGAACAACTTTTTTCTAGCTCTTGGTTTTTGAATGATTCCTTATCTCCAGGATGAACTTTGTCCCAAGTCTTTCAAACCCTTTTGGTCTGGTCTCATATTGGAGGGAAATGATAGGTCAGGTGGGAATCAGTGCCAGTCTAGACTCTTTTGTGAGATTTAAGGAATGATCTTAGCTGGACACCAGTGTCTCACACCCCTAATTGTAGCAACTCAGGAGACTGAGTTCTAAGGATCAGGGTTAGAAGCCAGCCTGTGCAGAAATAGTCTCAACACTTCATCTCCAGCTAACCATCAACATTGCTGACTGGGAGTATGGCTCAATAGTAGAGTGCCAGCTATGAGTGCCAAAGCCAAGTGAGAGCATGAGGCCTTGAATTCAAGCCCCAGTCCTGACACAAAAAAGAGGGAATGGTCTTAAGCTGGGCTTTCATGGAGTACAGTAAGTTTATTTATCTTTTTTCCTTGTTACAAATAAGAACATAGTCTAAAGACTACTATTATTAACAGTTTTTAATCGGGCAAAGTCTATTCAGGTACCAGTAGTAGAGTCAGTATGAGAGTTTTTCAGAGCAGAAAAGAAAGGATATATGTTTGCTTTCTTGAGAAAATACAGTTTTAAAATTCAGGAGAGGATCCACAAACTCTCTTTAGAGTTTTATTTTTATTATTATAAAGATGATGTACAAAGGGGTTACAGTTACATGAGCCAGGTAAAGAGTACATTTCTTTTTGGACAATGTCACCCTCTCCCTCTGGAGTTTTAAATGTAGACATTAAATTATTTTCCAACCTGATATATGAAGGAGATAGAATACTGGGGTTATCTAAATGACCAGGAGGAACTGGAAAGAAAAAGACTTACAAGAAGGGCAAGTGCCTCTGTGGAACTGGGAGAAGGAAGGCTGCTCTGAGGCTAGATGCCTTTGAGGTAGTGGAAGTCGGAGAGCTGGAAGCTGGTTTGGATCATATAGGTGGTGCAGATTGCAGGGGATCATCTAGAAGATCCAGGGAATTGTCAGTTTCAGAGAACAGGGCCAGACACATTGAACATCCCTCCTGTAGGTCTGTTTTGCTACTTACAGGGTTGCAAGGATCCAAAAAACTAAAGTCAATGTGCAAGTCCTGACCAGACCTAACTAGACAAGGGTGACTTAGCACTGACACCAAGATTTATTCCACAGTGCAGAAATAAATCCTTCTGCAGGGCAAAGATGATGTGACCAGAAGAGTCTATAAAAAGATGTATAAGTCAAAATATTAGGAGAGAAGTAGTGTTCTTTGCTGTGCTGGAAGTGGATGCTGGAAATGGAGAGAACAGGCAGACCCTTAACTTTTGTGAACTGAATGTAAGAAGATGTGAGTTTCACCATAGAGTTACCCTGTCCAGAGACCCACAACATAGAGGAAGTAGAATCTATGTAAGTCTCGGATGAATGACTTCATACCTAAGGGCAATGGGATCCAGACACTTGACAGGAGGAAGGTTTTGGGTTTTATGAGGGAGTCACCATGGGCAGAGACTCACAGTTGTCTCTTAAACTCTGAGTGCACTACTACCAGAAGTCTTGATTTGAAAAGGAAGGAATTCTTTCAAGTCTCCCTGTACATGCCACCAAAATTTCATCGATTTTTGGAGTCCTCATTGGCAAAAGAATTTACTGAGACAGAATAGGAAGACAAAGATTTATTAGAACACCATTTAAGGAAAATGGCAGGTAGGCAGAGGCATAATGCTGCTGTTTCTGCTGTACCAATTTAGGATTGGACCCAGGCTTTTTCATAGGGGCACTGGGCATTTTCATTTTGTAGGCTTTGTTGTTGATAGGTTATTTTTTCCTAAGAGCATTGTTCTAAAATGAACTTGAGGGAATATTGCATCAGTTTAACTTTTACTGCCACACTGCATCTTGGCGATTTTACACATTCAAGCCACCAAGTAGTTCCTGTCTTCCATTTTCCTTAAGTGGGAGACTTTTCTTCCCATTGGAAGTGAAGACATGCAGTAGTACTTTCAAAGTAAGGAGGGTGGTAAAATAAGAAAGAAATTGCTTGAATTTAAAGAATCAAGCTTTGCACTGCTGATTCTCTCCATTGGTTTAACGATTGCCATAAGGAATGCCAATAGCATGAAAGATGAGCCACATAGACCTAAAAAATATCACCATCATTTTAAAAGTATGTTACAAAAGTTCTTTACACATTTGCCAAAACATGCCAGTAGTTCCTAGCTGGGAATAATTTTGCCCTGATAGGACATTTGACAAAGGGAAACAAGGATATTTGTATATTTTTTTAGCTCCTGCACTGTACACAACCAAGCTCCAGATATGTCTTGTCTTGTGTCATGCTGTCTTGTCTTTCCTTTCCTCTTCTCCCACCCTCCTCTATCTCATGCAAAGAAACATACCTCCTTTTAGCTACAGTTCTAGTATATATTTAGCTAGAATGAGACTTAGAAGTACAGAATTTTCATTTTCCTCTTTTGTTTTTCAAATTTGACAAAGCTCCATCAGTGCCTTTTCATATGATTTTGATGCACTTTTTCCAGCTCTTGTTAATTTTGATAAACCTCTAAATTATAGTTTATCTTTGAAAGTTTTTTTTTTTCTTTTTATTTTTATTTTTTGTGAACACACTGTACAGAGGGGTTACAATTACATGGGCAGGTTAATGCATACATTTCTTATCAAGCATTGCAGCCTCCTCCTTTGTTTACCCTTCACATCCCTTCCCAGCCTCCCCTCCCACCCCCCCACCCAATCCTCCCCGCTTTCCCTCCCCCACCAACATTGTAAAGCTCGTTTTCGACATGACTCATTTTAGTAACTATGTTAAGTAGCATTTTAATAATTCAGCAGTTCCATGTAAGTATGCATTATCATCTTCAACAGAATTAGAATACTTCAATTGGAGCTTTGTGATTTCTTTTGCCTCCAAATGTTCATGGCTTTAGATCCAGGAATCAGAACCATACAATCATTTTTTCTGCTGAAAAATACTTTACTTTTTCTCAATGAGCTAGGTCAGAGAAAATAGAAGCACTATTATTAAACCAGAGTGATAAGATTTCTTACTTTGATCTCCTAGGTAGAAGTTACAAGTAGGCCCAAAGGTGAGTCTTCGTCCTTGTTTTTTCTTTTTTTTTTTTTGGGTCCGGTCGTGGGGCCTGAACTATGGGCCTGGGTGCTGTCCCTCAGCTCTTAAGCTCAAGGCTAGCACTCTATCACTTAAGCCACAGTGCCACTTCCGGCTTTTTTCTTTTTGCTTATGTGGTGCTGAGGAATCAAACCCAGGGCCTCAGGCATGCAAGGCAAGCGCTCTACCACTGAGCCACCTTCCCAGCCCCTTGTTTTTTCTTAGAATGACCTTTCTTCCATTTTTTTTTTGACTGTACAAACAAGGAGAATAGCAGGAACCAAGAGCAACTGTTAAAGTTGCTTTGAGTGTTATTGGTCATGGACTTATTTTTATTTATTGTTTCAGAGGACATTTCTTATCTGTGATGGATGTATATTTTTTTAAAAAGCTTACCACTTTTCAATAAGTGTTCTGTTACAATAGGCCACTCAGTAACAAGAGCTAGAAAAAAAAATGATAGAGCTCTTACTCTTTTTGTTGAATAAAACTGATGTTTTTTTTAAACTTGGGGGCTCACACTTGCTTGGCTGACTTGCTCAACTGTTGCTCTACTGCTTGTACTATGCCTCCAGCCTTGCTGTTATTTTGGAGATGAAGTCTCACAGATTTTTTCTTCCCAGGCTGGATTTGAAGCTTGATCTTCCAGGTCTCAGCTTCTCTCCAGCTTCCTCAGTAACTAGGATTACAGGCATGAGCCACTGTCACCTGGTGTCATTATTTTTAATTACTGAGATCAATAACTGCAGCTTGTGAGTGTGTATTATCCCACTAGAATCAAATTCTACCTGAACTAGAATATAGTTATGAGTGTGTTAGCTACTGCCTTGTGCAACCACAACTGTGTTCAGATAGCTTAGTAGTTGGTAGGCATTTCACCAATTTACTTTTCCCTCAAGTCTTTACAACCTACTCTTTTTACCTAGTAAATATACACCAAAAGGTGAGGAATTATGGTCTTCCTCACTATAGAAGAACCAACTTAAGTAATCTGAACATGTCCTTGCCTATTTTTTTCCAATTTCCACTTGCAGTTTGATGATACGAGTGAGATAGATATTACTAAGTATTCTTTGGGAATTCTCATGCTTTCATAAGTAAATCCCTTCCTCACTCCTCCTTGCTAACATGTTTATCGCAGATTTTAGTCTGACCTTGTACGTTACTTGTGAAGTTGAGGAACACATTTAAGAACATACTGAGTAGTCCCATTTACAGTTCCTAGCATCACCTCAAACTTAGCTACATGTTCTCTTAAAATTGTCTCTTTGTTCTAATATCTTCAATGTATATGTTTCACTTATTTATGATCATAGACTTATTGCCATAGACTCATTCTGACTTTTCCTCTTCTACTCTACCTGTGTTCAACCTACTTCCTTTGGACCAGAGTATTAAAAGTAGCTCTGTATATTGTCTCACATTTTCACCCATCCTCATCCTCTTACCTTCAGCCGTCCAAGTACCTGGGATTACAGTGAGCCACTATTCCCAACCCTCTTCCAATTTCTTCATTCTTCTCTATTACTGCCTTCTTTTATATACAACTTTTTATATACAATTACATCTTCATGTAAATTTTAGTCTTTCCAACCACAAAATGTTTTTAGAGGACAGGATTCTGATTTTTTTACCTGTAAGTCTAATGTAGTGGTTTTGTTGTTGTTGTTAGTCTGTGGTCTGAACTCTGGGCCTGGGTGCTATTTCTCAGAGCTTCAGCTCAAAGCTAGCGCTCTGCCATGAGCCATAGCGCCACTTCCGGCTTTTCTGCTTATGTGGTGCTGAGGAGTCGAACCCAGGGCCTCATGCATGCAGGACAAGCCTTCCCAGCCCTAGTGTAGCTTTTTTTTAATATAAAATTATTATATGCTTGACTTATTGCTATAACATTTATACATAGCTTTCTATAAGATAATCTGTTTATTGAAAATGATTTTAAAAGGTAACATGTTTTCTCTTTTTCAGAGTTAAAAATTCACCACTTAAACAGTCTCCAGGCTATCAGACAGAACTAGTTATTCAGTTGGTATGGGTGGGTGGAGAACCACCACAACAAATCACCAGTCTGGCAGTCAATTCTTCCTATGGACTGTAAGTGTTAGGTGTTCTTCTCGATCTCTGTAGTACTCCATCCACTATCTATGACTTAAAATTCAAATTAAATTTAACACTTTGGAGCATAACATTTGGAACATAATTTCTGAATAATTTATTATGGGTATATCTATACTGCTTCCTGATAAAATATCTCACAGACTCATAAAGTATTTATTAATAACTAAATGAAGTATTTGAAATAAACTTTTAAAGTCAGTATATCCTCTCTGGGATATCTGCCCAGAAAAAAAGGTCATGAAAGTCTTAACAGCATGGACCTGGAAAACAGTGTTACAAAATGATTCTGTAAATAACTGATCTGTAACTATGTCATTTGTTCAACTTGTAGAAAGTACAAAGTCAGCAGTCATGCACCAAAGTATTATTTTATACAATAACTTTATTTGCTTTAAGTAGTAATGTTTGCCTTCAAGTATGTAATACATGATTTTTGTTACTTACATAAGGCTTTTCTTGTGTTTTCTTACTCCAGAAATAAAGACTGCAGTCTTCAGTACTACATACACAATGTTCCTTCCCAGCACTGGTTATCAAGTGCTGGTTCCTATTCTCCTGGGTGTAACCTTAGAAACTCTGTCTTTTTCTTTTCTTTTTTTTTTTTTTTATTGTGAAAATACCACACAGAGGAGTTACAATTACATGGGCCAGATAATGAGTACATTTCTTATCAAACATTGTTGCCTCCTCCTTTGTTTCCCCTTCCTATCCCTTCCCATCTCCTCCCCCCCCAACCACCTCCCCCACCCGCCAAAGTTGTAAAGTTCGTTTTTCCAACATAACGATTTGTACATCTCATTGTTGCAAAGGGCCCACCTGTATCCCTATTTAAACAATTTGTTTTTTCCCTTCCCCTCCACAAATTATACCAACATCAAATATAGTGAAAGCAGGGGTTATTCCATGGGGGAATGACATACAAAGCAACAAAGAAATCATCTTATAAATATGTTAGAAACAATCACATGAAAGAAAAAACATTTGAATACTTATCTTGGGGTTCATTTCACCTAACATCAACTTATCTGACCTTTTCTGCTTATCTCAGACATATACTAGTTATTGCAAATAAGAGAAACCATGGGGCCTATGTTTCTTTGGGCCTGGCTTACTTCACTTAATATAATTTTTTCCAAGTCTTTCCATTTCCTAACAAATGGGGCAATATCATTCTTTCTGATGGAGGCATAGAATTCCATTGTTTATATATACCACATTCCTCAAAAGACTCCACATAGAGCTCCCCTATGACCCAGCAATCCCAATTTTGGGCATTTACCCAAATGATCACAAACAAGATCATACTAAAGCTACCAGCACAACTATGTTTATTGCAGCATTATTTACCATAGCTAAGATATGGAACCAACCCAGATGCCCCTCGGTAGATAAATGGATCTTTTTCTTGATAGCTGTCTCTACCTGCTCTCTCTCCTGCAGTTCATGCAGTAGAGACTGTTACAGTCTGAGATAATCTATTCTGATATCTTTTATCTGCTGCTTTATAATGTAAAATCATATGACTGTGTCTTTAAATTTTTATTTCCCCCAAACAATAAAGAAAACAGAATAGTAGAAAATTTCAAAATGAAGCCAGGCACTGGTGCTCACACCTGTAATCCAAGTTACTCAGGAGGCTAAGATCTGAAGATCATGGTTGGAAGCCAGCCTGGGAAGAAAAGTCCCTTTGAGACGCCCTTCTCCAACTACTCACTTAAAAACTAGAAGTGGAGCTGTGGCTCAAAGTGGTAGAGTGCTAGCCTTGAGTAAAATTGCTCAGTGCCCAAGCCCACCTTGAGTTCAAGCCCCACAAAATGAAATTGAAGGTCAATTGATTTCAGAACTCATTGGCTAAGAGTTGTGCTTTGTTTGCTTTCCATTCATTTTTAAAATTTAAATTCATTGCCAGTGTTACATAATCAGAATTGAAGGTTTTGCTGTTTAGATACTCATATAGTTTTCAAGTTATTCAAACAACTTTGCCTCTTTTACTACTCATAATACTCCTTTGTATGTATTAGCTTTCAACTTCTGTCTTAAGAGATCTTGAAAAAATAATCTTTACTTACAGTAAATTAATGTGTCATTGCTGACCCATAATTGAGAAGGTATTTTGAATACTCCAGATGATGTTTTCCAAGACTTACACTTTTTTATTCCTGACAATCAGCATTATAAAACTTCCTCCACTGTATAATTCCTTATTTTCCTACTTAGAGGGGGCTGTCTTCCTCTAAGGTGCTCAAGGCACAAGAATATATACTTCATTGCTTTCTGTAGGAGATTCATACCTTTAATCAAGTTTCAACTTATGTGTCAATTTATGTGGTAATAACTATTTATTGATGTTAGATATTTAATGTATACAGAAGATTTAATAGCTTCATGAGAGACAGATGTAATCTCCATTTCCCTGTCTGTCTTTAGTTTTCAAAGATTTTTCTGAAAGACTTGTCATGCTTCTTTCTTTAACCATAAGGACTATGTTACATTCTCTTAGGTCATTTGTGGTAAATGTTTTACTTTTTTCTATTTTCAGTGTGGTTTTTGGCAACTGCAATGGTATTGCTATGGTTGACTACCTGCAGAAAACAGTCTTACTCAACCTGGGAACTATCGAGTTATATGGCTCAAATGATCCTTACCGCAGAGAACCTCGGTCTCCTCGTAAATCTCGACAACCTTCTGGAGGTAAAATCAGAAAACAGCTGAGCATTAGGATTTCTATAAATGCTGACTTACTTTTGTAAATACAAATGATTCCACTAGATAAGTAGCTTATCTTATTTTAAATATAAACAGTCAAACATTATCAACAGATATGAATCTCATTTTTGTTTTGTAATTTTGGTTTTTGCTTCTGTTTTAATGTTCCAGGATTTTATTTAATGTCAACAAAGAATTATAGTGTCAGATTCTTCAGCCAACTTATAATGGCAGGAATACTTGTCTCAATATTATACAACATTTAATTTTAAAGTTGTGTTCTTTATATTATTTGGTCTCTGTGAGAATAATAACTTCATTGTTTCAATTATGTGATTCAGAAATCATTAACATTTTTTTAATGTGGAAGCAAAAAAGATCATAAATGTGTTATGTAGATGTTACATTCTTAGATTTGATTCCGTGTAAGCCCAGGTTCATTTAAAATTCTAGCAATTTTTGTGTTTGCTAGGTAATTCGTTTTTATTAACACCTCATAGGGCATATATGTATAGTTAGATATTTGTCCATTTCTTCTTACATATCTTTTGTGTCATGATTCACATTACATAGCAACAGGCCATATTGATGAGAACTATTGCTGGCATGTGGTTTCAGTTTTCCTGAGGCCTACCCTTCCACCAAGAATGAGGAGAGCCCTGTTGGTGATATTTGACTCATTTGCAGACTACCACTGTGCTTTTGAAAATGATTGGAAAATGAGTGAGTCTACCACTCACTCTCTCTGAGTTAACATTCTCAGAGCTCAAGGTCTGTAGCTTAGTATTAGAATGCTTGCCTAGCATCTGTAAGGCCCTGGGGTTGATACACAGGAGCACGAAAAATACAAAAGTTCTTATGTGAAATTTATTTCAGTTGGCCCTAGTAATATATTAGTAGTTAGTTCTACTGGTTATTAACATGTGAGACAAGAAAAAAAAGGGATACTATAGACTTTCCTGTCATTTTGGCTTGACAATTGAAATTTTCTTTTCAAAGTTTGTTTTACGTTTTTATTTGTGAGTCTGATCATTTGTCATGTAATATCTTCTGCAGAGATTACTATACCAGCATTCTAGTATCTCTGTCTCCTTTGTTTCCTTTCCCTTTTCATTGCTTCACCTAAGGTATGCTGAATGTGACTTCTTGCATGTGCGGCCTTTCTAGCTTATATTCTGGGTCTGTGAAAAAGCTTCGTTCTTCCTTAAGTAAGTCATTCATGTCTTGACATATTTGTTCTTTGGAAATCATTGTTTTTCCTTCATTAATTTTAACAGTATATTAGCTAAAATATTTTATATCTAAAATACTATACTCATTACTTAAATTTGTTTCATAACATGAATGTGAAAACATCTATTTTTATTCTTTCTGCTCTGGTACTGGGGCTTGAACTCAAGGCCTAACACTTGATTGGCTTATTTCGCTTAAGACTGGCTGTTTACCACTTAAGCCACACTTCCACTTCTAGCCAGAAGTGTGTTAATTAGAGATAAAAAATCTCAAGAACTTTTCTGGTCTTTGGCTTCAAACAGGAATCTCAGATTTGAGCTTCTTAAGTAGCTAGGATTATAGGTTTGAGACGTTGGCACTGGATTCTCTTTCTTTTTTTTCTTTTTTGTTTTTTAATTTTTTGGGGGGTCCGGTTGTGGGGCCTGAACTCTGGGCCTGGGCACTATCCCTCAGCTCTTCATCTCAAAGCTAACGCTCTACACTTGAGCCACAGCGCCCCTTCCGGCTTTTTTCTTTTTGCTTATGTGGTGTTGAGGAATTGAACCCAGGGCCTCTGGCATGCAAGGCAAGTGCTCTTCCACTGAGCCACCTCCCAGCCCCTGGATTCTCTTTCTTGTGTGTGTTTGCCAATACCACAGCTTGAACTGAGGTTCTTGCACTCTCACTCAACTTTTGCTGTCATTGCTAATGATTTACCTACCACTTGAACCACAGCTCCACTTCCAGCTTCCTAGTGGTTAACTGGAGATGAGTCTTGTGGCCTTTTCTGCCCAGACTGGCTTCAAAGCTTGATCCTCACGTCTCAGCCATGAGCCACCAGCATCCAGCTGAAAGCAGCTATAAAAGTGCTGTGCTTCTACTCAATTTTTCCTAAGACAAAGAAAGTAATATTAGCATTAGGACATTATTATAGCAGATAAGCACAAAAACTTCAGGCTTTTGTAAAATTGTAAACAATTTTAAAATTTAAAATTGACTAATTGCTTTTTCCTGTATACTTTATAGTAGCTAACTTAAATTGCTAATAATTTAATGGCTATTTTATCTAAGAATAGAGACCAATTTACCATGCAATTAATTTTTTTTTAAATTTCATGGCATTGTATTTTAGTCTTGTGTTGAATGCCATAATATTTTTGCATTATTATTTGCTTCATTGTATGTTGATGAATTAGATGTTAAATGAAGAACTGTTTTGAGTTTTTCTTATTAAAGTGTTTGCCCATTGTTACTGTGCCTTAATATTTTAATATTTAGGGTTTCTTAAGTAAATACTAGAAGACTTAGGGCTGAAGATAGACAGAGCTTGCCTCACATGCCAAGCCCTGCGTTCAGTCCCAGCACTGAAAAGTTGTGAAGTATGCTCTAAAATAACATTAAGAATATTTGAGCCTTGGGTCTAGATACTTTTTTTTCCAAATAAAATTAATTGTAAGATAGTTCATAGTAAATTATTTAATTGCACTGATAAATGGTAGTCTTGCTAATGGGTATATGTTTTTAGATATATTTCTGAGATATAGCATAACTATCAAGTGTTCATAAAATCTTTCTTAATCAGTCTTAATGGAGAATTTTTTTACTGCTTAATAGATAGTAATGAATTTTCACTATAAATCTAGTGTCACTTATGCATTTATTTTTATAAGTATTTACACTTGAGTGTTATTAGCTGTATTTTATTACAGTTGATGACTAAAATATAGCCTATGTTTTTATAATGGGAATTCTAGAACTACCATTTAACTGCTATAATTCTTGTTTCTACTGAAAGTAAACTTTAGATTATAGAGGTCTTGTTTTGTTGTTCGCTTTTTCACTCAGAAAGTGAATGGCAAAGCCGGGCGCTGGTGCTCACGCCTGTAATCCTAGCTACTCAGGAGGCTGAGATCTGAGGATTGCAGTTCAAAGCCAGCCCGGGCAGGAAAGTCTGCAAAACTGTTATCTCCAATAAACCACCAGAAAACCGGAAGTGACACTGTAGCTCAAGTGGTAGAACGCTCGCCTTGAGCTGAAGAGCTGAGGGACAGCGCTCAGGCCCAGAGTTCAAGCCCCACGACCAACAAAAAAGAAAGAAAGAAAGAAAGAAAGTGATTGGCAAAACAAAAGAAGTTTCTAATCTAGCTATAATTCTGAAACATAAGTGTTAGAGAGCTTGAAATAAGACTTCTGAGAAAACTGCTTGCTCTTGGAAGTTAACAACTTAAAAAGGAAATAGGCTACAGAAATCTATATCTAGATTTTTAGGAAAGTTTTTTTCAAAGGCTATGAGTAAACTGTTATGCAGATGAGATTTTAAAATCATAATTGCGATTATTTTGAAGTCTTCAATGTTTTCAGTAAAGTAGAAAAGGAGATATACTGTGACACCCAGAAAGATGTGTTAAATTTTTCTGTGTGTATGTAGTGTATTATGAGAAATAGAAAATATAACACTGCAGCTCCTCCCTGCAGGAGATGTCTTCCAAAACCTTTAGTGAGTGTCTGAAACCATGGAATGTTCCCAACCCTGTATGTGCACATCTTTGATGAAATTTACTTTAGAAATTAAGTACAGAAAGACTATAAACAGGAACTTGTGATAAAATGAACAATACTGTTATAATGCACTATAGTAAAAGTTTGTATGTAGCCTCTTATTTTTTCTTTTGAGGATATGAGATGAGCTTAAAAGAACTACCTTGTGGCTTTTATTTATACCAGCATCACTACTCCTGTCAATTGCTTGGGTTATACCTGCTGCTGTAATTTGATAATAGATCCAGATGAGACAGCTACTGAGTCAGTTTTTATATTGTGCTGATATAATGATTACATCTTGTGTAGGACAATGAGAAAGGTTTCACCACTCTACTCAGAACGGTTCCTAATTTAAAATTCATGAATCATTTGTCAAATTTTCCATGTAACATTCTTAGACTATGAATAATCAAAACTATAGAAAGGGCTGCTACTGGTGCCTAGCAATTTACGAATTTAGAAGGTATCCTAAATGGATAGAGGTCAAATATTTTACTAATCAGTTGATACAAAGTAGTCACAATTTTAGAATGAGTTGATACGTCTTTTATGCCTGTGTGCACATAGAAAATAAAGATTGACAGATAGTAGCAGAATCTCACTACTGTAAGTTTCATGAGCAAAATCAATTTGACTTTTGTAATCTCATAAATACATTAGTGGTTTATGAATACTGACATAGTATTTCTTGGAGTTTATAACATATTTGATTTTTAAAATTACATAATTCTGAACCAGACAGTTGGCAGCAATCTCAATACCTAGTTTGCTTTGATGATTACAGACTGATTAAACCTTGAGTTAGCATAATACTGTACTATCTGTGGACCAAATCTGGCTCACAGCCTGGGTTTGTAAATACAGCCTTATTGAAGCATGGCATTTTAATTTGTTAATGGATATCTTGTATTGAATAACACATAGCTCTGTATGTTGAGTATTTTAAAACATAAATTCAGATTCTTAGCTAAAAGAAATGGTAAACTTATCAAAATCAGCCCTATTTAAATGGTAATTACTGCATTCTATAGCTAAAGTAGATTCAAAAAGTTATTTATAGATTTGAAACTATAGTTTCTATGCTGGTCTTAAATCTATGATACTAGGGAGATATTCTGGGGCTTTGCCTCCCCATTTGTGAAGTGGACATGATCTCTTCTTCATCAAGTTAGTGTGACCACCAAATGAAGCATCACATGAGGCTGCCTAGCTGTGTGACTGGAGCATTGTTGGCACTTGGGTAGTAGTTTTCTTACTTTTGACTACAACTAAATTTGTATTAAATGTGACAAACTGCTGAATACAGTAGTGTGATAGGTGTGATACACTTAAAATTATGTTTCTGTTGAAGTAGAAATTCCTCTTCATTTTTAACGCAGGTTATTTTTTAAGTAAAACTTTGTATACTGTGTACTTTCCACCAGTGGTTTCCAGATGTAATTTAATTTTTAGCCTTCTTCAGTTTCTTCTGTCAGATGAAGCTAATACTGTCTTCCTAATTTGCTGCTATGGATTAAACTACTAAAGAATTTGGAAAGCACCTGAATAGCTCTACTGCTAGAAACATTTGTTGAAATGATTCTGGCAGTAAGAGTAGATGGATTAGATATGTACTTGAAATGTTTTCACATATATTCATTTTTTTCAACCAATATTTATTGAATACCTACCATATACTCAATTACAAGTAATACATACTTCATATTTCTATGTAAAATCACTATAATTAATAAAACAAACAGAACCAGTGTTGTTTAAGATATATTTAGAGAAAATCACTTTGAGGTTTGGATTAAGGACCCTTGTGATGAGAAAATTATCAAACTTTGTAGCAAGCACTTACTCTTCCCTGAAAATTCAAGAACTCTCCAAGTCTTTTAAACAAGTCTTGCATTATGTTTAATGTCCTTTGATAATAACAAATTTTCTCACTTGGAAATCCTGTTTCTAAACCATGTTTTAATTTGTTTAACTTACTATTATTTTGTTAGCTTGAGCTATTTTAGCATCAGAGCATCAGTACCAATAGTCCATTCATCGGCCTGGGTTTTTTATGTGGACAATAGTAAAATGTTAGTGGATACCTCCTTCACTTACATAAATATGTGTAGTGTGATTTGATCTTTGTTCTTATTTTTTTAGCAGGTCTTTGCGATATTAGTGAAGGGACTGTTGTCCCAGAGGATCGCTGCAAATCTCCAACTTCTGGTAATCTGTTTTTCATTTTAGTAATAATTAAGATATTTATGAAGGTGAACATGATATATATATAGATAGATATAGAAACTATCTATCTATATCTATCTATCTATGTATATATATATATATATTTTTTTTTTTTTTTTGGTCGTTCATGGGGCTTGAATTCTAGGCCTGAGTGCTATACCTCAGCTCTTCAGCTCAAGGCAAGCACTCTACCACTTGAGCCACAGCGCCACTTCTGGTTTTCTGAGTGGTTTATTGGAGATAAGAGTCTCACGGGCAGGAAGGACTTTCCTGCCCGGGCTGGCTTTGAACCTTATGATCCTCAGATCTCAGCCTCTTGAGTTGCTAGGATTACAGGCATTAGTCACTGGTGCCTGGCAGCATATTAAATTTTTATACAAAAACATGTAAAATAAATCTGTGAGAAACTTAGGTCACATGTAACCTTAAAATCATAACTTTTTTCCATACTGAGTAAATGAAAAGAAATGTAGCTAGTGGTAGCTAAAATTCCATTGATTTTATCTGATCATTCATATAAATTGTTTGGCTTTCGTATTTATACTGTTATAAAAGTTTTACTCCTGAACATTGAATCAAATGTTTTAGTTACTTGTAATCTTTGCTTTTGGCACTCCTAGAATTACCTAGTAAAACTGAATAAAATCAAATAAAAGTTGATGTAATCTACTTTTCTATAGTCCTTGTGAATAATATCCATTTAAATGTCATGAAAGAGTTCTGTTTATTTTTCTGTGTGCTGCTAAGGATCAAGCCCCAGTACCTTGCATGTGTTAGGAAAGTACTCTACCATTGAACTCGACTTCAATCCCTAAATGCTGTAAAAGATTCTTGAAATTTATAAGCTAAGAATGCTATAGTAAGATTTGGTTTTGGCTTTGATCAAAGAAATTTAGAGTTTTATTAAAGTAACTCTTTTTGCATATATTAATGGCTCTTTTCATATGCTTTAATATTCTAAAAGAACATTATTTCCAGGAATTTTATAATATCTTAAGATTAAAAGTATCTGAATCTTATTTAAGTGGATTGAAATATTGCTATTTTTAATAAAGTTGACAGTTTTAATTATATTCATTCTAGTTGCAAATTTTCATCCAGTTTCTACTGGAAAGATAGTTCTTAACATAAGTAACTGTGTTCTTATGTTTTCATCCTTCAGTGTGAATTTTTTTTCATATCAAAAGAATTGCAATAATAGGACATATTGAAAAGGACTTCTCTTCCCTCACCTTTCCTTTTGTATTTTACTATATAAGTCTGTAAAACCTTTTGTAATTCTTTTTATAGTTGCTTTTTCCTGATGTTGCACAAACTAATCAAATATATCCACATATTTTCTTATTCTTTAAACTTCATACTTAAGTTTGTTCTCGATTCAATGAATGTAGGCACCAGAACCACATTGGTATCCAGTGATAAGTCAGTCTTAAACTAGAGGCTGGGTGCCGGTGTCTCATGCCTATAATCCTAGCTATTCAGGAGGCTGAGATCTGAGTATCTCAGTTCAAAGCCAGCCCAGGCAAGAAAGGCCGTGAGACTCTTATCTCCAATAAACACTCAGAAAACCAGAAGTGGCGCTGTTGCTCAAGTGGTAGAACACTCGCCTTGAGCTGAAAAGCGCAGGGACAGTGCCCAGGCCCAAAGTTCAAGCCCTGTGACCGACAAAAAAAAAAAAACGGAAGTGGCACTGTGGCTCAAGTGGTAGAGCACTCGCCTTGAGCTGAAGAGCTGAGGGACAGCACCCAGGCCCAGAGTTCAAGTCCCATGACAGACCAAAAATAAATAAATAAATAAATAAATTCTCTCAAACTAGAGAAACACAAGCATATTTTAACATCTTGAGATATATATTTTTTATTTTATTTTTTTTGTCCATGTGAAAAGGCAGTATAATTTTTTTAGCAGTACTAAGATTTGAATTCAGGGCCTGGCTTTTACTAGGCACTCTGCCACTGAGCCATGTCTCTGTCGCTTTTTTACACTGGTTATTTTTTGAGATTGGAGTTCAGTTCTTGCCTTGGCAAGGCTGGACCACAGTCTGCTTGTTTAGGCTTCCCACTGTAGCTGGAATGATAGGCACATGCCCCTGCATCCAGCTTTTGTGACAGCAGATTTTCTGTCTGAAAATGCAAAGTAAAATATGTGTTTTCATAAAATCAAAAAAACAGATGGTTTAGGGATACAGGTGGACCCATTGCAACAATGAGATGTACAAGTCCTTATGTTGAAAAACGAACTTAACAACTTGGGTGGGGGGAGGGGAGAAGTATGGGAAGGGATGGGAAGGGGAAACAAGGAGGAGGCAACAATGCTTGATAAGAAATGTACTTGTAGTGGTGCTGTGGCTCAAGTGGTAGAGCACTAGCCTTGAGCTGAAGAGCTGAGGGACAGCACCCAGGCCCAGAGTTCAAGCCCCACGACTGACAAAACAAAACAAGAAATGTACTTGTTATCTTGCCCATGTATGGTATCCTCTGTACGGTATTCTCACAATAAAAAATAAAATAATGACAAGAAATGTACTCATCATCTTACTTATATAACTGTAACCCCTTTGTACAGCACCTTTACAATAAAATTAAAAAAAAATAAAATCATTGATAAGTCAGGAATTCTTAATTATAGAGCCAATAATTTAATTTAACTTTTTAATATGCTCTGAAAGATCTAAGAATTCTCTGAGGAATTATGCCCATCCTTAAGTGTCAGGAAACAGTCTTTTTTAAAGAACTTACTTTCATAGAGGATAAAGAGTTTCAAATGTCACTCGAGCATAGGTACTATGGTATTACGGTAGAACCTAGATTGAGATTTGAGCAGGTTATCTGACTCTTGTCAACAAATGCAAATTCTACTTATGGTCAAAAATTGAATGGAATGAACATATAGTGAATGTAAAAAGCCACCATTTTTATGTTTCTAGTAAATGAAAATTGTTAAAACTAATGTAGCTAATATTTTAAAAGTTTGTATTTTTAGGAAAGGAAAAAATACATGAATGGATTAGAATTATGACTCCATAAATATTAAGAAAATAATATAGTAGGCATCTCATGGCTATTATCAAAGATGGTTTGTCAAAGTGTTTACTGAAAATTAATTCATAGAAATGATAACTTTTTAACAGCTTTCAAATTGCAGAAGCTAAAAGAATAACTTCAGTTCCATAATGAATAAGAAAAAAACTCTCCAGAAAAATGAGAAAATAGAAATAGTAAGCAGAGCTTATCTTTTCTAAGTTACTTTAAAATGAACCAGTTATCTCTAAAAAGAACTTAATACTGCCTACCAGACATACATGTAATAAACCAATTACAGTGGTAGCCTCCATTAATCTTCATTTCAGAGAACTCAGACTGTGTCACTGACCATTTCAGTAATGATGGAATTTGTAGTGCATCTATATGTATGTGTCTCAGTGTATAGTCATATAAAATGTTACAGAAGTGTTTTCAGAAATTGATTAGGTTATTTTAAACTAGAGGACCATATGTACCATTATACAAAGGTTGCCTTATGAAGTTTGTATGTGATGTAGGAAAATCAATAATCTGTAGATATTTTAGGATTTAATTATATTTATTTTGGTTATTCCAGTCGATATGTTGAAAACCATCTTATCACAGTTTTGATAAGCTGACACATAAGTTATAACCAATATTAGAAAATTTGAGTTAGAATAAATTTAAGCCAAAAAAAAAATTGCCTGTTTTTATTTTGAAAATGTGAAATATTTTTATAATTTTATCATATATAGATGTTACCCTGTTATTCCTCTAATATTAAACTTATTAGATAAAACCAGTGTCATTTTTGAATATTTATGTGGTTATTTAGAATGTGTGATGATGGTAATATTTTAAAATGTGCAGAACATATTCTAACCATTAATTTATTAAGTCTAAGTTATATTTATATGAAAAAAGCTTACCTGTTTCCCTTCCTTGAAATGTTATCCAGTTTAATGTTGCTTTTGTACTGTTTTTGATATGAGATTTATAAATTTTATTTAGGAAAAATAATATGGATTTTCAAAGAATAATCTTTTAAAGCTAAATGGAAGTAGTTGGATTCTGTCAGTGTTGAGGTTTTTCTTGAATAGAGACTGTCAAGGTATTTGCAATCAGGCTAAATGAAGGAAGTATGATTTGGGGAGGGAAAGCAGATAAGAGTATGTCAATTTTTTATCCAATTTATTATGCTTTATTACTGTTATAGGAATTGCTCTAAGCACAGAAAAGCAGCCTCTAATTAACTTCCAGTTACATTTTCTGCATTTGTTTCTAGCTGGAAAACTTTATTCATTCAGCAGATACTTATAGATACCTACATAAAAAACACTTCAGTGATCACAAAGGAGATAACAAAAAAAAGTGGCTCAATTGTCTTACTCTGGTTTTTAGAAGTTCATTTAAATGAAGATAGGCATATATATACGTACATATACACACACACACACATAAATATATATGTAAATTCAACCTCAGGACATTAAGAGTTGTTGTGAAGTATTACAAAAAATCAAAGATGGGAAGTAATTCACAGTTGGGAAGATTGTAAAAAGTATAATGTATATGATTTTAATAGGCCTTTATAAGTTATATTTTTCTTTCTGTGTTATTTCATATATCATATACACTTAAGATTTTTGCCAAATTATTGTTCCTTAAGGAAAAATATTAGTTAATATTTGCATATATTAATGTGTACCATGCAAAATGTTCTGTGTAATCAGAATTCTTAAGAACTATATAAATGGCCTCTTTGGGGGCCATATGTGACTGCTTACTTTTGAAGTTGCCAGTCTTTTATTTGTACTTTTCCTTGTGACACCTCAATGTTTGTGACTGACTATGTGCCTGTTCCTTCCATTGTCTTCATTTGTGTAGGTTCTTCATCACCACACAATTCAGATGATGAACAAAAAATGAATAATTTTATAGAAAAGGGTATAGTATCTTTGTTTTAAAATATTCTTATTTATGTTTAATTTCTTTAGTTTACTTTGAATAGATTTTGACATTTTTATATCAAAATATTATTTTCAGTGAAGACCAAAAGCAGAAAGTTTTCCAAGATGGTAGCCAGTGATATAGGTAGGAAATAGACATTTCTATTTTGTTTCTAATCCTTGCTATATGCAATGCTAACCAACAGCAGAAAATTATCCAGTGCATTGCATCTTGTATATATTAATTTTTTTATCCTTATGCTAAACAATAATCTCTTGGGCTGTGTTTCTTCTTAACTCATTGGGGCAGTAATTATTAAAATCAATTAAATTGGGAATGCAGTTCTTTCTCTTGACTCACAGTGTGAATTATTCTGTTAACTTTTATTTTTTGTTTTCAAATAAAACAGGGTTCAATTTATGCTATAAGTAGCACAGTTTTATACTCTCAAGCTTTGAAGTCATATTTTTCTTTTGGTTTTATTTGTATTTTTTCCTACCTTTACTCCATAATCCCTCACATTAGGAAGACTCCAAATTCAAGAAAATTGTTTTCCAAAAGATTGACTTTTTCAGTTTATAATCTACACCAGTTTGGCTTTAAATGAAATTTTTTTTCACCTTCCCCACATATGCAAGGAAAAATGTTTACTGTACTCATTCAAGTTGTTCTTATGGATATACTTTGTAATTAATTACTTCATCTACTCTGAAACTAATTATTGTTTATGATTCTCAAGTTTAATACTGAAGAATAAAATTTATAATAAAACTTGGAGGATGTCACTGAACTGAGTTTTGGGTCACAAAATTTTGAATATTCTCCAAATTTTTTAATGCCTAAAAAAATGGTTTTATAGAAGAAGATGTATTTCATTTTCTTCAGGCCCTATGTCACATGTTAATTGAACCTACCTAAATTAGATCCACTTGTAGACAGCTAGATATTTAAGACATTTCCAGAGTGACATCCCTGTTGTCTGTGTGCTGTAAATTGAACCCTGTCTCCATATTCACGGTGGTGGCGGTAGCCCTCCACACATTTTTTTAAAATAAGATGATTTGTTCTTTGGCAAAGGGCTTTTCATTTAAAGAGAATCAATTACTTACTTTTACATATTTGTGTATTTTTTAGTGAATCTTCTTGTAATGGTTAAATCATTTTAATTATTTACTAGAACCATAACATGATACTTTTCAACAAGTTTCCTTCTTGGCATGTTCTAAGAGTATGCTAAAGGTTCTTTTATTGTGGCGTAATACAAAATATATTTAAGTGAGCAACTTTTAGAATTAAATTACCTAGGAATTTTACTGTAAATGAGAGGAATTTTTAGTAATTAAATTTGTAAAATTATTTTTAGCATTTGCTATTCAGGTCATATTTACTTTGTTTAAAGCATTGGTCACCTTCCTATATTAGAGCTCAAGTATTTGAAACACTTTACCAACAAATTTACTACCTCTGAGGACATTATTGAAGGATAGTTCCTTGATAGCTTTCTTGATTATTTTTTCATATTATGAGTGAATTTTTCTATCATGCCAGTTTTTGTAGTTGTATTTTTAGACTCTATTAGTCTTTTCAAAGGTATGTTAGTGTATAGGTATGAATAGTAATTTTTAACTTATAATTTTTTTGTGTTGAAATCTTTCACTATTCGTGTGTGTGTGTGTGTGTGTGTGTGTGTGTGTGTGTGTGTGTGTGTGTGTGTGTGTGTGTGTGTGTGTGTGTGTGTGTGTGTGTGTGTGTGCGCCAGTCCCTGTACGTTTGTGCTAAAAGCTAGCACTCTACCACTTGAGCTACAACTCCATTTCTGGCATGTGTGTGTGTGTGTATGTATGTATATGTATATGTATGTGATTAACTGGAGATCAGAGTCTCATAGACTGTCCTTCCCTGAATGGCTTGCAGCTGTGATCCTCAGATCTTGGCTTTCTGAGTAGATAGAATTATAGACATAAGCCACCAGTGCCCAGCCCCACTATTCTTTCCTGCCTAACTATTTTTTCAATCCTATAGTTCTCGTGTACAGAAACAGAGCTGCCCTGTTTTGCACTGTGAAAGTGATTCATAAAATGATACATTAGTTTATTTCCCTATATTAGCATCCCATTTTGTAATGTTTTAACATATAATCTACTATAGAAACAAAAGAAACTTCATAGAGCTCCTCAAGAGACCTCTGTCAGGACTGATGATTCTGTGTGACATGATGTTAGAAATACTAGGACTCCTTGAGCCTTCTAAATACTATGTTCCCGTTATATATCCAATCCATAGTTGATAAAAATTAAGTTTCAGTTTCCTCATTACCATGTGCAGTGGTTCATGGTTATGGTCCTAAGCTGCTCAGGATGCAGAGGTAGATTGGAAAGATTATACTTCAAGTCCAATCCAGGCAAAATGTCCAAACTTAATGTCTCCTGCTTGTTAGAAAGATAGATACTCTATTACTTGAGCCACACCTTAGTCATTGTTTTAGTTGTTTTTCAATAGTATTGCATTTTTGCCAAGAACTGGCTTCAGATGATAATCCCCTAAATCTCCTATTCCTCAGTAGCTGAAACAATAGGAATAAACCACCATGCTCTAGAAGCGCATCTTAAAAGATGAGTATTTAGTGACACCGTTTTTTGCAAGTAATGTTAATACTTTCTACTTTGAAAGAAAAGGATTATTAGTCAAATAATATAATTGGTAGACATATACTTTAGAATCATCATACAAGTCTAACTTCTACTGAATCCTCAAACTAAAATCTAGACGGTATTATCATATTCAAATTTCATTTCTGCATGTATTTTTGTGTTATTTCATAATTAAATGTACTTGAGAGTTTCTTTTGATTTTACATTTCAGTACTTAATGTGTTTTTTACTATCTCAACAAAGCTATCTTATTTTAAATGATATAAGGACGTACAATGAGCTTACCATTTGCTTTCTAACAAAATTAACCACAATTAACAGTACATTACTGAAAATAAGTTTTTGTGAATTGGGTATTTTTTTTTCAGCTATTACGTGAGCAGACTATAAATGTGACATTATAGGTTTGTTACAATTTAATAGTTTGCTAGATTGCCATCACAAAATTCCACAGAATAGGAGGCTTAATCAGCAGACATTTGTTTTCTCTCAGTTCTGGAGACTGGAAGTCAAAGTCAAGTCAAGATCAGTGGGTATGGTTCTAGAACTTTTTCTTTGGCTTGTAGATGGTTGCCCTCTCACTGCATTTTCACCTGATATCTTCTTTCTGTGTCTGTGCTTGCTCCTGGACATAGGCAAATTGAATGACAACCCAGTATAACAATTTAATTTAACTTAATCACTTCTTTAATGACCTTCTCTCCAAGTACAGGCACAATCTGAGGAATTGGATCAGGAATTCCCCATATGAATTTGGGGGGAGGGGCACAATTTAGCACTTATAATTGTAGTATTAGTACTTATTATATTAAAAGATTGGTAGAACCTTTTATTACATAGAATATTCTCTGAACTATTGCAGACATTAATTATGGTGCTATGGGAAACAGTAAACTTAAGTGGGAACGAATTGATAAAAGCTCAAGAGTAAAGAGCATTTGTTAGAACTAAATCTATACCAATATCTCTAAAAATCTTCCATATTAGGTCATGGAGATGGGAACTGTCAGTATTTCTGAAAATACTCCTTTTGTTTTAATTTTCCCTTATTGCTCTTTATTTTGTCTGAGTAATTTAGCTTCTTTCTCTAAAAGTCCAGTGACAGTTTTTAATCCATTTGTTATTTATTCTTATGATAGTTACTGGTTATACATTAATTTCTGTATTTATGCATGGAACTCGGTTTCTGAACTCATGAACTTTATCTTCTGCTGTAGACTATAGACCCTGGTATTATTAGATTTAATGGCTATTAAAACAATTGCTACAGCAGCCTCTACCTTTCAGTCTTACTTTCTCTCCTCCCCCTCCCCTTTGGATTCTTTGCCATCCTACAAGCAGATTTTTAGGCTAGATTCTTTACTAGCCTGATTGTTTATTTAATATGTATAGACTTGAACATTATCACTCAAAAAGAACAGTATTGAATCTCAGCATGTAGAGAGAAAAATGATATTGTCATTTTTTTCTGACAATTGTCTCAATGTAAACAGATCAGTTTGCATTTTTCACTATTTGATCTTACTGTCATGGGGAGTACTTTTACCTTGTTTAAAGTTATGCTTTTACTGTAAATGTCACATTTTAAAAAGTGGGGATTAAGATTGCTTTTCTTAAGGAACTATTTTTAGAAAATATAAAATGTGGATACAATGGATAGATAGGCCTGAAGGAAAATTATAAAGTAACTATTTAATATAAAAGAAACAATGAGAATTTTCACAATTGAAAAGGCAACAATTTATCCAGTTGCAAAAGACTAAAACACATCAAACATGAAGTCACTTACAATATAAGGTTCAAACAGACCCTCGCCTGAGAATATCTTTCCTTGGTAATTGCAGGGGTTTGAGTGTTTCCCCAGAGATCTTCGATACGGCAATGTCTAAAGGTGGTAAAATCTTTCAAAGTCAGGGCTTAGTGCAAGGTAATTAGGTTTTTTAGGGTGTCACCCTCCAAAGGGATTAATGTAATATTCATGGAACCCTGGTTAGTTCCTATAAGACTGGGTTTTTTAAAAGAGTCTAAGCTGGGCACTGGTGGCTCACACCTGTAATCCTAGCTATTCAGGAGGCTGATACTGGGGATCCTGGTTCAAAGTCAGCCCAGGCAGAAAGGTCCCCATGAGACTCTTTCTCTAGTTAACCACTCAAAAACTGAAAATGGCACTGTGGCTCAAAGTGGTAGAGTGAAGAAAACCATAGATAATGTGATTTCTGGGAACTTATTTAAATTCCATGTGTTCAGTCAAAAGGCAAAGTACAAGATGAGCAGCTTCAAGGCAGGAACATAAATTCTTTGAGAAATAGCATGAAATCAACTGATTTGACAATTGCCCATGACTCCTGAGAAATAAAAATATAAGTATCATAAACTACTAGGTAAAATATGATGGTCTCTCATCACAGAATTATAGCAGAATGTAAGTATTGAGCCGGGAAAGCTGACAGCATTAGTCCAGAGATATGTCTGCCTGTGTAGGACCTGCTATCAGGAAAGCTGACTAAACCAATAACAAGTATATTCCTCAGAATCACAATAATGGAAAGATACAAACTTTTAGCCTTAACATAAACTTTAGACCTTGGGTTTAGAATTTAGCCTTACACACATACACACAAAACAAAAACAGAAACAGCTGTGAATCTGATCAAATGAGATTACTGTTCCCTGGGATGAAGCAATAGGTATTGTAAGACAGTTTTCCTTGAGAAAATGGAGAAGCCTGAGGTGAGCCAGAAGTTTTATTTCAGCCATCCTTTTGAAACACTGGGCAGGTTGAGCCCCAGTGGAATTGAATTACCAGCTAAGGAAACAGACCAGAACTTGAGGCTGCTAATAACTCAAATATGTGGTACAGAATACAGAAGAGGAAGGAACTGCTCAGGAAGAATTTCTAGAAGTCTGTGTGGAGATTCAAGCCACGGCCTAGGAAATGTGTAGTTTAAACATTTAAGTTGGAAAAGAGCTGTATTAAGCCAGTGGTCTTAACTTTTATCTCAGGAAGTTGGAAGATAAATTTGAACCTAGGGTTACTAGAGCAAGTGCAGAATCTATGAATGCTCATCATTTTTTTTATCTATTCAAGGAAGACTAAAGTATGTTCAGGAAAACTTAATTTCTGTTTGGTGGGATGTTAAACAATGTTTTAAAATATGTGCACTGTTTCTATTATTTTTACTAAGAATGAATTCTTTTTGCAAAAACAATTCTTAAAATGTACTTTAAATGTTATTAACAACTTGTCTATTTAGTTACTTGAGCTATTAGCATAGAATGAAGGAATATTAGGTTACTTGAAAGTATAATGACAGCTTATTTTGTGTAGTGTTTATAAGAACCATTCTCATTAATAACTAACATTTATTAAATAATTATGAGTCAGGTATTCAGCTCAGCATTTGTTTACATTGTCTTATATATCCTTCATAACTCTCTGCCTTTCAAGGTCTAGAAAGTTAAGCCATTGGCTTAAGGTTGCACATCTAGTAATTGGTTGAAGTGGATCTAGACCAGTTTTAATGTTTCCAAACCCAATCTTAACCAGTACACTTGGTATACCTACATTTTTTTTTATCAAACTAGATATTGAAGCTTAGCCGCACATTTGTTGTGGGCGTAATGTGCACACACGCGCGCGTGCACACACACACACACACACACACACACACAGAGTTTAATAAATTTGTCTTGGTTCCTAGTCTGTAATTACTTATAATCTCGGGATCCTTGTCACTTAAACCTTGGTCCACAGACCAGCAATATCTCCATCTGCTGGAAGCTTCTGAGAAGTTCTTCTGAGGCCCTAGTGCAGAACAAAGTCAGAATGTGCAGGTCAAGAAGATCCTTAGGTGACAGGTGTACATTCAAGTTTGAGAAGAACAGGTCCCATTGACTCAGAACAACTTAATCAAAGCTGAGTAGGGTTTGAAGAAATGGCATCCAGCCGGGCGCCGGTGGCTCATGCCTGTAATCTTAGCTACTCAGGAGGCTGAGATCTGAGAATCATGATTCAAAGCCAGCCCAGGCAAGGAAAGTCCGTGAGACTCTTATCTCCAATAAACAACTAGAAAACTGGAAGTGGAGCTGTGGCTCAACCAGTAGAGCACTCGTCTTGAGCTGAAGAGCTGAGGGATAGTGCCCAAGCCTAGAGTTCAAGCCCCACGACCGACCAAAAGAAAAAGAAATGGCATCCATATCTTCTGGTTCTAGAAAATCTGTTGATTGTGCCAGGTTGATTTTCTACTTCTGAGGCTATTCGTATTGTATAGTTACTATAAATCAATCTATGTGTACTAGACCTATGAGATTTGGCACACAAAAAAACTGAATTCTTTCCAACTGTTAATATCGCTTGATAGAGGACTGTTTCGAGATATAATTTTGTGTCTAGTTTTAAGGATATTGCTTATCAAATACAATAGCAACCATATATGTGAAATCACACTACCATAGATACTATTTATAGCTATTTAATTTTGTGTTGCATTTTTATTTTTTAACCAAAATTGACTAAGTTGATGCAAATGGGGTGATTGATGCATAAATTTGACCCATTGTTGTTAAGGCTACTAATTAGGTTAATGAAGCTTGAGGTAACAAGATGTCACGCCCCTGTCCCTTATCCCTTCCCAGTCTGTCTAATGCCTTCTTCCTAATGCTGCATTTGTCATTTTTTTAGATGTGGAAGTTATGTACTATGACTGGATTTCTCTTTGTTTACATGGCGCCCTTATGGACTAGCAGGGTCTGTGCTTTAAATATCTCCTAACAGTCCAAAATTTAACCAAATATATGCATCCATGTATTAACAAATACTTTTTCAAATTTCACATAAAGAGCACTATTCTGTTACGCATGCACTACCACTAACATAATAGATCTAGCAGAACAACTCCTAACTTTAAATCACTTACAGATTAAGACAATAACTGATTTTAAGGATGGAAAGTGAATTATAGTAAGTTTACACATTAGCTTTTAATTTTTCTAGTTCTACATAAAAATACCCATAGCTTATGTAAGTACCATAATTTTGTGTTAAGCGTGACTTGATTTTTCTGTTTTTCACTGCATTGTAAATGGAATTGTGAACTTTTGTCAAGTGATGGTATAGACATTTCTATGATGTAATCAAGTAATTTGTGAATGTAGGTTTGCCCTATCTTCTAAAACTTAAAGAACATGCCAACAGCTGTGAAGACGAGAAGCTGGGACGGTTCTGTTAACTTACCCCAGCTTGGTCTCGTGTCTCTGTTGCCTTATCTGCAGCTCTTTCTTTCCCAGTGACTTTTCTTTGAGAAAAGTCTAACACTTTCCTGAAAGCCTAACCAGTAGCTCAGTGTTAACATTCAAAGGCTCCCTTGAAGTATGAGCTTCAAGACAGAAAGATATTACATCTAGTAAGTACAACTTTTTAAAAGTTGGAAGTAAGATTTACTTTCCACTCTTAATATTATTAATCATACTTTAGTTATCCTAGCATCTAGACTTAGCATAAAAAATTATTCACTTCTGTCTGGAAAATTAGTTGGTGTAATAAGTAGGGCTTAAATGTTTTTCCGATTTTATTAAAATGTGTTTTATTTTTCAGCAAAGATGTCAAGGAAGTTAAGTCTGCCAACTGATCTAAAGCCTGATTTAGGTAAGTAAAACAGCTAACAAAATAAATATAGAAAGTAAATGACCTCTTTATTACAGAAAAACTAGGAATTATAATGCAAATTATATCATTTATATATTAATATAAAATATCCAATCATTATATAAATTTTATAACAGATTCAAGCAAATCAAAATAATACATTTTCTCATCCCTTTCATACTTTTTTATCTGAACATAATTAATTCAAGCTTAAAGTTTGTGCCAATCAGATTTTCATCAAAAATAGTATGTTCCATCCAATCACTTCAAACCTATTTTTAAGTCTATAACTTATAAACTTAATTTTATACTAATATTTTTTAAACTAAATTACTAGTTTTCTTCATTGCAGCAAATTTCTCGTGTTGAAAACCATCATTACAGGAGTGATAATAATAAGATAGGAACCATTTTTTCTTTTACAGTAGTTCTTTCATGACACTTATTTTTATGCTACTAGGGTTTGAACTCAGGGCCTTACACTTGCTAAGCAAAACCTGACCATAATACTTTTTTATACAACTAACTCATTATATAAACACCATGAATATATACACACATTCAGTTTGCTTTATATCCAGTATTAAACAGTTTCATTAGATCATATGTGGAAAAACGGCATTTCCGTCAAAATAAAATTTCATGTACAACATTAAAGTGGCATTTCTTTTTAAAGGCATCTTTAGATACCAGATTTTCTCTTCTAACAACCTTTGTTGCTGCAAGTAATCAGTCTCCTAAGAGCTACATATACATCTTCCAAGGGATGTACCTCAGTAACCTAGTAACTTTTCAGTGGGCCCTTCCTCTTAAAGGTTCTACCTTCTCTCAGTGTTTTCAAACTGAGGACCAAACTTCTGGCCTTTTTTGAAACATTGAGGGAAATACTGGTTCATATCCAGCTCTGGTTATTTGCATATCCAAATATCCAAATCATAGCAGTAAGTCTTTTTTAACTGTAACAGACTATGAAATCTTAAAAGAAAGACATTTTTAGAAACTACAGTAAGAACTGAACCTTGCTGTTGTCGGTAAAGGTAATTTTATTGTTTTTAAAGGCTTGCTGTAATTAATATTACATGGTGGGAAGATTTTCATTGTGTATATCAATTTGACTGTAAATGCCCTGGTTACACCTTTTTTATTTATTAAAATATAGAATAGGAAACATTTTTTCATGACATTACAGAGATACATTTCTTTCATAAAAGCATTGAAAGTATATGGTTTGAGGAATGATTAATTAGATCGGAGTTGTAGATTTCCTGAGAATTTTAATATATCTGAGTGGCTCAGCAAAAACAATGGTTTCGATGCTCTTAATTATAGTCTCTCTTTAATGAAATATTTATATGAATACCTTTTGCAAATAAGGTACTGTGTAAAATTCCACAAGGGATCAAATGACATAGTTTTTGCACAAGAGACACTTGAGTCTTAGAGAAGGGAGTAAGACAAGTCAAAAATAACCATAAAGCAAATGCAGTGTGAGTGTAATGGGAGAGATACACTCCTCTGTAGCTAGAGCATCAAAAGAGAGGGAAACTGTGGTTGTAGGAGTCAGGATATACACTACTTGAGATAGGTAGAGAAAGGCTGAAACAAAACCAAAACCAAAAGGTAGAAAAGTCAGATAGCTCTATTGAGATTCCACAATGCAATAAAGTAGTGTAGCATTAGGAAATGCCAGGAGGTGCATTAAACTTGCTTTGTGAAGTTTCTTAAAAGCCTGAGAATGGACATGATTAAGTAGACAAACGGAAGCCCCTGAGGACTTTTTGAACCGAAGTGACAAAATCTTAACTATGCCATATAAAGTATAACTGGATTGTGCTAGCTGTGAGAGACTGAAAGTGTGTCAGTATAGGTGTATGGCAATGAGAACCTGAACTCAAGAGTAATTGAACTCAATTGTTAATGGAAGAAAGGAAGCAACAGTGAAATAAAACAGAATACAGCCTGGCATCCCAGCACTCAATTGGCAAAATGGAAGAGAGGAATCAAACCTGTTCCTTAAGAGAACAGGAGTGTCATTAACATAGTTTTTATTAATATAGTTATTTGTTCATTAGTATTGACAAATTCATGAAAAGAGTCTAGAGTTTTGGTTAAGGATGTAACTTGATTTTGTTTAGTGAGAGAAAGCAGGGAAAATGTCCAGTATGCACTTGTTGTCCCTAAAGAAACATGGCCAGGACTTGAGATAGGCTTCGGATTGGCCCCAGAGAAGTAGCTGAAGAGAGATTGATTACTATAATTTTTAAATATCCACAATACTACAGTCAAAGCTGAGTAAAGGAAATATGCATTGTGTATTGAGATACCAGTTATACATTTTGATGAAAAATTCCTTAGATGACTATTGATTAATTTGACATTGAAGTAAACTGGAAACCAAGCTTTTATTGCTTGGATGAATATTCTCGTGGGATAATTGGAAAAAATCCATTGTTGCAGTACTTACACAAATTTTATAACAGACATGTAGACAATTGATACGACCTTCACTTTTCTAGTTTTACCTAATGGTTTTACTAAATGAGAAGATAAGGTGATATGGTTGAAATTAGAGAAGCAAGAAGTAGCCAAAATGCCAAAGGTCACATTCCAAAGTTCAATTGAAAACATCCCTTTTCATAAGAACTGTGGATTTATTTATTTCTATTTTACATGTAAGCAAAGTGGAAATTCTAAGAACATAAAAGTTGTTTTTCATTTCTGTTGAGAAGAAATTAAAATGTAAGTATGTCATAAATTTTCTTTTTTTCTTTTACAGACTTAACTACTTGACAAAGTTTATACCAGAAAGTGTGATTTTTTTTCTTTAACTTGAGCAGTCTCACAACATTTTAAATCATTTCAGATGTAAAGGATAATTCCTTCAGCAGATCACGGAGTTCGAGTGTAACCAGCATTGATAAAGAATCCCGAGAAGCCATCTCTGCTCTTCATTTCTGTGAAACTTACACTCGAAAGGCAGACTCATCTCCATGCCCATGTCTGTGGGTTGGAACAACACTAGGAACAGTGCTAGTCATTGCCCTGAACCTTCCCCCAGGGGGAGAACAAAGACTCCTACAGCCGGTGATTGTGTCTCCAAGTGGTATGTATGGCTACAGTGCTATATTTGTGACTTGCTATAAGCTAACCAAAAAGCCTTTTTTTTTCATTATTGATCCAAGAATTTAAAATAAAAGTAAAGCAGTAAAAATCTTATGTACGTGTGTGTGTATATGTGTGTGTGTTTGTGTGTGGGTGTGTGTGAGTGTGGGTCCTGGGGCTTCAACCCAGGGTCTGAACACTGTCCCTTAGTTTTTCTTAGCTTTTCATTTAAGGCTAACACTCTACCACTAAAGCCTGATCCAAACCTTCACTTCTGGCATTTTTGGTGGTTCATTGGAGATAAGAGTCTCACAGACTTTCCTGCCCAGTCCAGCTTTGAACTGCAGCCCTCATGTCTCAGCCTCCTGAATATCTAGAGTTATAGATGTTAGCCACCAGTGCCAGCTAATCTTACGCTTTAAATAAAGGAATACTTAGAATATGATTTCAGAATATCATTTACACAGCCATTCAAGTTTTTCACTTTTTAAACTCTAGGATCTAATTAGAACATAAGAAAGTAGGGGGAAATAGTATAGTAATAGATCCTAATACCTCAAATATTCCATTTTCTAAGCAGTAATATGCTGGATATTGAGGGAAAAACTGAAATGTTTATTTCTAAAATTCTGAATTAGATGTCATTTTTATTAAAAATTACCAAGTGAGATCTGAAATTCTTTTGGGAAAAAGTGACTTCTGTCAGCCTTATTAAAAAATAAGACAGGATAGTATCAAAGATGCATTGAGTTTATTAGGTATAGAAATAACTGAGATGTCTGGTTTTCATTACTGCTTGCTGTGCTCATCCAAATAAAAGTAAGCATGACTGTAATGGATGGACTTTAGGTACATTTCTATAATGGACTTTTACAATTCTTGCATTTTAGCATTTTAAAAGCACTTCAATTTATTCAATTAATTGGTGAGTGGATACTGTACATTTAGCTATTATATTGAAAAATGAGGTTACATAATGATGACATTCTTAAAAATCTTATTCCTTGTTTGTAAGAAACCAGTACATGTGTAGGAACAGAAAAAAAAAGGAAAATCTTGGAAAAGTGAAACTCAAATGTTAATACAAATGGTTACTAGTTTGTAGGACTTAGTAATTTTTGTTTTCCTCTTCATTAATTTGTTTCTAAATTTTGTACAATTGGCATCTGTTAGTTTTATGTAAACAAAAATGTTTCCAGTACATGAAAGAAGGGTTAAATCATTTACTCTTTAACTATATAAAAAGTAAACTGTTTTCCAACTTGCAATAAAATTAACTATAAAGTTATTTGATACAAAAATAATCTATATTTGTCATAGCTAAATGGAACTTTATAAATTCCTTCTCAACAATGAAAGATTTGAGGGTGGTTTTTCATGAGATGCCTATTGAAAAATATATCAGTAACACTCATGTCACATTTTTATAGTGGAACTGTGAAAAGAGATGGATATCTCAAGTAGATAGCTTTCTGTGCTTAAGAACATGAAACTGTCAGTCATGGTGGTATGTATGTATAATCCCAGCTACTCAAGAAATGGAGATAGAAGAATTGAAGTTCAAGTCCAGTCTGGGTAAAGATAGCATAAGACTCTATCTGGAAAAGAAACTCAAAATACAGAACGACTTTGAATACAGATCAGGTCTTAGAGCACTTGCTTCTACCAAGCTTAAGACACTGAGTTCAAACCCAGCACCTGGCAAAAATATAACAGAAATAACCTACTTTGTCACTTTTTTTTTAAAGATACAGCCCTTTAGTTACCACTGGGAAACATTCCTAAAAGTCGTGCCAGCTGCAGAGCAGCCATACATTGGAGTGTCCTTTTGGGAAAAAGTCTTGTCTTCTGAAGGACAATGTACATTAAAGTGTCATTTGAGGCCATTTTTAGAAAATGGACCTAATAGGTCCATGTATGTAATACAAAATTAACATGGATAATTTAGCTTGCCTATCAGGATTTAAAGCCAGGACTCTGACTAAACCAGATGAAAGACAGCTGACTTTAAAATACTTTTTAAGATTAATACTACTTAAAACTATAAGATTAAAATTGCTTATGTATCTCAGTTTTCAACCACACTGCTTTAAAATAGTAAATTTATCTACTTGGCCAAACCTGGAGCCTGTCATTACTGGCATTTAGTCAACAAATATCTGGATGTCCAGTCAAATTTTCATTTCAAATTACATATAGTTTCCAATATATTTTCTATGCAGTATTTAAAAACAATATATTCTGAACATACTTTGACTAAAAATATATTTATCTGAAATTTAAATTGATATATTCTTACTTTTATCTAACAACCTTACTTTAGAGAAAACAAAAGAAGAAGGAATTTTTCTTTTAAAAAAAATAATTATGATGGCCAGACACTGGTGGCTCATGCCTGGAATACTAACTGCTGAGGAGGCTGAGATCTGAGAATTGCAGTTCAAAGCCAGCCAGGAAGAAAGTCGAGACTCTTATCTCTAATTAAACAATAATAAGTCAGAAGTGGAGCTCAAGTGGTAGAGCGCTTGAGCAAAAAAAAAAGCCCAGGGACTGCACCAGGCCCTGAGTTCAAGCCCCAGAACACAGCCCCAGCACAGACAAAATGAATTTAGGAGAGCACATCAGGAACATTTTCTCTTAGAAGTAAAAGGAAATAATATATGGAAATATTGTATGCTACACCAAATGCATACATATAAATAATAAAACATCAAGAACCATTGAAGTAAGAACTAGAATGCAGCTATATCCTTTTGTAAATTAATGTCACTTAGCTTATTTAGAAATAAATGTGCATTTTTAAGCATTAAAAGGCACAACTAATGAAAGCAGACAATAAATGTAACCCCTAAACTAGGACTGCAGACATATCAAAGTAATGCTTTGATTGTATCTACTATTTATTGGTGAATATTTTACAAAGCAATTATGATTTTAGAGGCATAGTTAAGGAATACCTAGGATTGTTTTTCTTATTGTTCCCCTCAGTCAGTACTGTGTATTAGAAATGTAAGGTAATCCACATAAATTTTTCTAGTAGCCACCAAAAAAAAATAGATGAGTCATTTTAGGCAAAACTACTAACAAGCTATATCTTAGCCCTCAAAATAAATTTTAATGTTTTTTTATCCTGTTGTAGCTAAAATCCTGTCATTTCAAAATACAATTTTTATTTTTAAATCAGTGAAGGACTTTACATTAAGTTGTTTTTTTGTTGTTAAAGCATTCAACTATAGAATGTGTTTTACTGTCAGAGCACACCACAGTTGTACAAAGGACAGGAACATTTCCAGTAGTTTAGACACATCAGCCTAGTTGCTGTCATATTGGACAGTGCTAGATGCCATCTGCTGTCTACTCAGACTCATAACAGTACACTCACTGGCCATGAAAGGTGTTATAGTTCTAGATACGAGGACTTACTCAAACTGACCCTGCTTAATTAAATTACCAATTGTCAGTCAGTGGTATTTATCTATTAGAGCCATGTAATATTATCTTTGCACATTGATAAATATTTGGCTTGAATTTTTAATCTTGCCTATGACTAGTGTATAAATTCAGTTTAAAATGGAGTGGGGGTTGTGGTAGGGTGACTGATCAAGAAACATTGTACACAGACATTACATTGAAACCCCTTTTCACAACTGTTTGAAGATAATTAAAAAGAAAAAATAAACCCATGACTTATAAAAATAAATGTTTTCAACTGTAGAGTCTAGATTAGCGATAAACATATTTACTGTGTGGATTAAAATATTTCAGGTATGTACTAAATTTCTATATTTTAGGTACTATATTGAGACTAAAAGGTGCAATTTTGAGGATGGCCTTTCTGGATGCCACAGGCTGCTTAATACCACCTGCCTATGAACCCTGGAAAGAACACAATGTTCCTGAAGAAAAAGATGAGAAGGAGAAATTAAAAAAGCGGCGGCCTGTCTCAGTATCCCCCTCATCTTCTCAGGAAATTAGTGAAAACCAGTATGCAGTGATATGTTCTGAAAAGCAGGCAAAAGTGATCTCATTGCCAACACAAAACTGTGCTTATAAGCAGAACATTACTGAGACCTCGTTCGTACTCCGAGGAGATATTGTATCTTTGAGCAACAGCATCTGCCTTGCGTGTTTCTGTGCAAATGGTCATATTATGACTTTCAGGTAAGAATGAGATGTTCTTAAACAATGCAGCACTTCCTCCACAGAACACATACCACTTCCTCCTCACCAACAACATTGCCTCAGATCACACATGCACAGCATTTCGTCCTTAGATTACACAGGCTTCCTCAGATCACAGAGCACTACTTTCTCAGATCACACACACACACACACACATACACACACACACCACTTCACACACACACACACACACACACACAGCACTTCCTAAGATCACACAGCAATTCCTCCTCACATCACAACAGTACTTCCTCCTTAAATCTCTGAGCACTGCTTCCTCAGATCACAAAGAGTACAATCACATACACTTCCTCTTCAGATCACTTCCTCCTTAGATACCACACGGCACTTCCTCAGATCACTCAGCCCTTCCTCTTTGGATCACACAGCACTTCCTTCTCAGATAACAAAGAATGAAATCCGGTCTTAAAAATGTTCTTTTTTTTCAGGGCTGGGAATGTGGCTCAGTGGTAGGGTGCTTGCCTTGCATACATGAAGCCCTGGGTTTGATTCCTCAGTACCACATAAACAGAAAAGGCCAGAAGTTGCACTGTGGCTCATTGTGATAGGGTAGTAGTAACACCCAAGCCCTGAGTTCAAGCCCCAGGACTGGCAAAGATAAATAAATAAATAAATAAATAAATTTACCCCCCCAAAATATTCTTTTATCATAGTTTTATACACTGAGAATTCAGTGTCCTCCACCTAATAGTGAATACTTGTATGAGGGATATAAATCATTTTCTTTCTCTTTCAGGGATATCAATCATCTAAATCACAAAATCCTGGCCATGCATTTTTAACTTCTGTAATAATTTTCATAAAACTAAAACTTGCCATGTTTCTTATTAACTTCTTAACATTTTTCTCAAGTTTGCCAAGTTTAAGGCCTCTGTTGGATGTGTATTACTTACCCCTTACCAATATGCGGATAGCCAGAACATTCTGCTTCACCAACAATGGACAAGCATTATACCTTGTTTCACCCACGGAAATCCAGAGACTTACGTATAGTCAGGAGACATGTGAAAATCTTCAGGTAAATGAAGTTGTTCTTTCTTTAAAGGTAACAGTGAAATCTGTACATTTAATCAGCATTCCAGTGGGTTTTTTGTTATTGTTGCTAAAAATTAACTTTTAGTCAGGCCCTGATGCCTCATACTTATAATCCTAGCTACTCAGGAAGCAGCGATCTGGGGGACTCTGGTTCGAGTCTAGCACAGGAAAAATGTTCTTAACACCCTATCTCAACAAAAATGACTAGGCATGGAAAAGCATGCCTGTCATCTCATCTGTGTCAGGAAGCATAAGTAGCAGAATTGCACTCAGAGCAGCCTAGCAAAAAGTGAGACCTTATCTCAAAAATAACAAGAGCAGGGTAGACTGGAGACTCAAATGGTTGAGTGCAAGGCCTGGAGTTCAAGGCCGGTACTGGAAAAAAAAATTTTTTTTCTAACAATTTACTCTAAATTTAGTATATAAATAGAAGAAAAGTAAAATAGGCAAAACAATGAAGAGACAAAATTTGAGAGCCTTATTTTAAGAATCATAGTAAAGCTACAGTAATCAAAGGAACATGGTATTGACATCAAATGGACAGTTAAATCAATGGGTCAGAATAGAGTATTCAGGAATATATTACATATATATGTATCTGTAGACAACATATTTTTGAAAAGGCATTGCAACAGAGAAATACTGCCTTTTCACCAAATGTTTTTAAAATTAATAGATACTGAAGTGCAAAAAAAAAAAGTGAGAGCCGGTGCCAGTGATCACACCTGTAATTACAGGATCACACCTGTAAGCCTAGCTACTCAGGAGGCTGAGATCTGAGAATCTCCAATTCAAAGCCAGCCTGGGCAGGAAGGTTGGTGAGACTCTTAACTCCAATAAACCACTCGAAAACTGGAGTGGTGCTATGGCTCAAGCTGTAGAGCACTCGCCTTGAGCTGAAGAACGCAATGACAGCGCCCAAGCCTAGTTCAAGCCCCATGACCGACCAAAACAAGAAAAAAAAAAATGAGCTTTCATCCATATCTCATACTACATACAAAGATTTTCTCACAGTGGATCATAGTGGATCATAAATTTAAAAAACTATAAAACTTCTGGAAGGAATCAGAAAATCTCTTGTTATTTTGAGTTAGATAACAGTTTCTTAGCTGTGATGCCAAAAGTACCATTTGTGAAAGGATAAATCAATAACTTCAACAAAATTGGAACCATCTGCATTTCCTAATCATTTTTGAAGAGCCAGATGTGATGATGCATGCTTATAGTCCCAGCTATTCTAGACAGCAGACAGGAGGAGAAGGGTAGTTTGAGGCCAGCATGGATAGGTCAGTAAGACAGTCTCAAAAACAAGCTGGGTATGGGATTCACTCCTGAAGTCCAACCTAATTGGCAGGTGAGTGATGGAGGGTTTAACCCCAAGTCTCATCAAGGCAAAAACATAAGACTAATTCAACAAAACAAAAGCAGAAAAAAGACCTGAAAGCAAAAGAACAAGAGCATGGCTCAATTAAAAAAGAGGAGAGGGGAAGGAAAGAGAAGCTTACCAAACAAGGAGAAAAGCAAGAAGAGGAACGGAAAAGAAAAGGAGAAAAGAGAAGGGAAGGGAAAGGAGTTCATTAAACACCTGATAAGTGATGAAATATGAACAATAGTTTTAAGTGAAGTAAATAAAGCTTTGTAGTTCACTGTCACTTTTTGCATGTCATGTCACTCTGTGATTTAGCATGACTGACTCAAAAATCTGGCAGTATGGAAGGAACTCTTTCCAACTTCCTGCCAGATTTCTGAAATTCCAGATGTATGTTTGCATAATTGTGTTCCTAGTAATGTTTATGGAAAAGGAAGTTAGTTTGTCTAAATTAGTAGTTTTCTGACTCCATATAGCTCTAAAACTGTACATTATCATAACTACATTAAACTACTTGACCTACTAATATAAAAGTGTCTTCTTCCTAATATAAGAAGCCAGAACTAATAATCTATTTATCAATTCTTGATAAGTTATGTGAATATTTGATGGAAACATTTAAGTCCTCATAGGCCTACTGCTACCCACTTGTAAACCTAGTACTCAAGGAAGCAGAGGCAGGAGAATCAAGTTCCAGGCTAGCCTGAGCTCATAGTGAACACTGTCTCAAAAATACCAGCAACAAGAACATTGTCCTTACGGTCTAAGTAGAAGTCTGCCTTTGCCTTCAATGAAAAGAAATTCCTCCAGTGAAAGAAGAAAGCATCAAGTTAGCCCTAATTTTCAACATATAATGTTACAAGTTCATATGAAAGATTTTAGAGTGAGTATCTTGTTACTTACAGAGTAGTTTCCCTGAAGCTTTAACGACAACAATTTCTTTTGACTTTAAAGGAGATGTTGGGTGAACTCTTCACTCCTGTGGAAACACCTGAGGCACCGAACAGGGGATTCTTTAAAGGCTTGTTTGGAGGTGGTGCTCAGTCTCTTGATAGAGAAGAACTATGTGAGTTCATTTATGTAATTCAGATGATACATCTTTAAGAAAGAAACATTCCAGTGCTATAAACTTCTTACATGTGTAAATTTTGTTCACTTTTTCTTCTTGGTTACAGCAACTAACATCACACATTTTAAAGATATATTTATAGATATGTAGAAATATATATACATATATTAATACAATACATAAAATTATTTTGTCATTGTATTACAAATCAGGAAAATATTTTTCTCAAGGAATCCAAAGTAAAATTATTTCAAGGAGCTTAAAAAGGAATATTTACAACTTTAAATGGATTGTTTAAGAAATATTTTCTTTATGCCATATGTTATCTCATTTTTATTTCTATGATTACCTTTAACTGATGACTGTATTAGATATATGTCACTTTGGCAAAATACCTGAGAAAACCAACTTAAAAGGAGGGAAGGTTTATTTTGGCTCTTGGCTTCAGACTGTGGTCAGTCTGTGACCCTGGTTTCTGGGTCTATGGCACAGCAGACCATTACAGTTAGGAGCACATGGTGGAACACAACTGCCCCTCCTGGCAGCCAGGAAGCAGAGAGGAATAGAGCTTGGGAGAGGGAGAGGTCCCATTTCCCCTTCAAGAGCACACCCTTAGGAACCCAACTTTCCCTCTCATAGCCACACATCCTAAAAGATCCAACAGCTTCCAACTGTGCCATCAGCTAGTACCAGACTTACAGCACATAACTCTGAAAAGGATACTGAGAATCAAACTATAGCAATGCCTTTAACTTGTAAAACATCTGCAATATTTAATCCATCATAAATAACCAAAAATACTGGCAAGGATGCAGAGAGGTTAGAAGGCTCATACATAGCAATGAAAAATGGTACATCTTCTTTTTAAAACCATCTGACAGTTCCTTGAAGTTAAATAGAGTTACCACATAACTCAGCAAGAAGTTTCACTCTTGGGAACAAAAATCCATTGTTCACACAAAATCTACAAATGTTCACTGATAACCTTATCATAACAGCCAAAACGAAATTAACCAAATATCTATCACCTGATGAGCTGTAACATTGTTCTCAGTGAAAATCCAGCCACAAAAGGCAACATGCTGTATAAATTGGTTTGCATGAAATGATCAGAATAGGCAAATTTATAGAGAAGGAATTAATTAGTGGTAGAGAAGCACTCGAAAGAGGACTAGAAAATGACTGCTAACAGGTATGGGCTTCTTTTGGAGTGCCCTGGAAGTAGATGGTGGCAAAGGTTGCACAGCTTTGAGAGTTGTTTACCTTGAGAGACGATCATATGGCCTTTCGGTTATATTGTTTTGTAAAAGAAAGAAATGTAAGCTTAAAAGCAAATGGATCGGAATAAATAAACCTTTAATGAATATAAGACTTGGAGTGAACCAGGTGTTAGATATTCAGGAACTGAATTGTGAAGTAAAAGGAAACAATCCTATGGTCTTTTGAAGGGAAAATCTGACTTATTGGTAAGTGAAAGACAAATGGAAACAGAGATACCCCATATCTACAGATTTTAAAGACTAATATGGAATACTTTTAACTCTGTGGATAGTAATTTTACAAAATAAGAAGTTGGGAGTAGGCTGGATATATAGGTGGCATATACCTATAATCCCAGGACTCAGAAGGCTGAGGCAGAAGGATCATGAGTTTGAGGCCAGCCTTGGATATCTGATGAGATTATTTTCTCAAAGAAAAGAGAAAATAGATTAAAACCAAATCTGTATATTTAAATTTAAACCTTCTAAGTGAATAGTCTTTTAGTTATGTAAATTTTTATTCACATGCTGTTATTCATATGAACAAGTAATTACCTGCTCATTTTGCAGTTCAAATCTAGTTCAAAGAGAAGTCTTGCTGTTTGAAGTAGTATAGAGGAAAATATTTGTTAATGGACATTGTATATTTGTATGGTTGGAAAAGTACCTAGAAATTATTAAAACTATTATAATTGAAATTCATTAATTATAAAGTTAAATATATATTTTCAATTACATTGCCACTCAGTCCAAAATTATACTGTCATATAGAAGGATTTTCTTCCTTTTTGCCAGTCCTGGGGCTTGTACTCTGGATGCTTTCCCGGGGCTCTTTTTTTTTTTGCTCAAGGCTAGCGCTCTACTACTTGAACCACAGCGCCACTTCCAGCTTTTTCTGTGATTAATTGGAAATAAGAGTCTCATGGACTTTCCTGGCTGGGCTGGCTTCAAACTGCGTTCCTCAAATCTCAGCCTTCTGAGTAGCTAGGATTACAGGCGTGTGCCACCAGTGTCTGGCTAGAAGGATTTTATATTAGTAAAATTCTCACTTTTTCCTTTTTCCTTTTTTTTTTGACCAAACTAGGGTTTGAACTCAGGGTCCTCACTCATACTTGTTAAGCAAGCACTCTACCAATTGAACCATGCTCCATCACTTTTTGCCTTGCTCTTTTGTTCTAATCTTTTCAGTTGGAGAGTCATCCTCTGGGAAGGCTTCAAGGAGTCTAGCACAGCACATCCCTGGTCCTGGTGGCATAGAAGGTGTGAAAGGAGCAGCATCTGGAGTTGTTGGAGAATTAGCAAGAGCCAGGTTGGCACTGGATGAAAGAGGGCAGAAACTTAGTGACTTGGAAGAAAGAACTGCGGCTATGTTATCAAGTGCAGATTCATTTTCTAAACATGCTCATGAGGTATGTCTATCAGCATATTCTTAAGACACTTGGGAAAGCAAACCTTCAATGGATGTATTTCTACAGCTGTTGTATTTCTACACACATGAACTTTCTTATGTCCTTTGTACAATTACAGATTTCCTTAGTTTTGCCACCAGAGGGAACCATTACAAGGACATCTCAATAGTCCTTTGATCTTAGTACTAAGTTTATACATTTTGAAGAAATCTGCTCCCCTTCAGAATCTTTATAAACCATACTAGCAGCTTTGTAATTGTTTCTTACAGACTGCAATAAAAATACTAATTTTCCTGAATTCCTCAGGGTCTTCCTCAAAATTTTACCCTAGAGAAGAAAATAATCTGTCTCTTTGATTTTTCCCTGGAAGATCAAAATAGATTAAATTGGCAAAAATTTTGATTGAAATAAAGAACACTAAGTCCATGTTCCATGTTGTGGACTAATTTATCTGGAGGGTTAGAGAGGGCCTTTTGTAATGTGTTTGTCTCGATAGACCTCAGAAATCATGAGCTCAGAAACAGAGGCCATGAAGTAGGGCTCCCTAACAAACATCATGCTCTTTAAAAATAGAACTTTTTATTATTATTATTATGAAAATACCATACAGAGGAATTACAATTACATGGGCAAGATAATGAGTACATTTCTTATCAAGCATTGTTGCTTCCTCCTTTGTTTCCCCTTTCTATCTTCCCATATTCCGCCCCACACCCATATCCCCTCCCCACCCCCGCCAAAGTTGTAAAGTTTGTTTTTGGACAAAACGACTTGTATATCTCATTGTTGCAATTGGGTCCACCTGTATCCCTATTTAAACGATTCGTTTTTCCCCTTCCGCTCCACAAATTATACCAACAACTAAAAATTGAACTTTTGAAAGCCTTTGTGTAAAATGCACATTTTTAATTTTAGCACAAATCTATACTCCTTAATACTTTGCACCAGCCTCCTATATCAGTTCCTAGTCTGGTCGTTGAGGCCATTTTGAATTTGTTGTCTGAATCAACCATATGAATATTTTTACACTTGAGAACCTAATTACAGTAATAGTCTCTTTTAAATTGTTCAAACGGAAGTCATCTCTTTTACTCAAGAATGATGAAAATTACAATGCATGGGAGAAAGAGCTTGATCTGGGAGATATTTAGGATTCCAGAGAAATTCAGGGATCCTTCTTGAATACTTATACTGTGTCCATAAGCATCTCAGCTCTAAGCTAGGGCAGGAATTTTGTGGTCCTAACCGTGTGTGGTACCTAAGGCACATAGCACTAGAGTTAATTTCACAATATCTCCATACTCTAAGTAACAAAGGGCTTTTACCTTCTATCAAATATTCCAGAGTCTAAGGAAAACAGGACATTGAGGCAGTCAGTATAGTGATGGGTAATAGAATCAGTCTATAAATGTCAAATCCCTCATTTGACTTCATTTTAGAGACTTGAAAATTGCCTTATTTGTGGATCACTGTATTAGTCACCAAGCTATATCACCTTTCACAAAGAAAATCCTGTCATACATTACGTCACATCTAAAAAAAAGAATCTGACCTGTTGACATATGTTTTGTTGACTAATATAGTGACATAATTGTGCTTATAGTTATTTTTCCTCATAAAGCTATGCTTACTTATTGCTTTCACTAAATTGATTTGAAGTAACCAACCTAATAATTCTATAGAATGTTTCAGAGAGATAGAATGTTTTGGAAAAATATAGAACGTAGTTATAAATACTATTGTTCTAGCATTTTCAAAATATTTTTCTTTTTTTCTTCTTTAGATGATGTTGAAATACAAAGATAAGAAGTGGTACCAGTTCTAACCACCAAAATCCATTAAGTCCAACTCATCCAGAAGGAAAGATGATTTTCCTTTTTATTTCATTGATTTACATAGGAAAGTTAACATTAATGGGGTGTTCATCACTGAAAACTGTTCTTTCCTAGCACAATCATGCACTGTTTTACCTCAGTCATGTGGCTGTGCCTGGGGAGTGTTCACACACACTCAAACTGGAGCACATTGTGTGTGCCAGCTACGAGTTGACAGATGAAGACACAAAGAGGGATGTTGATGAGACGTGCAGGGACTATTTCTTGGATCATTCCTGTATTAAACTTTCATATGCCAAAAGATTTTGTGCCGTTGTATCTGCCATCAGTGTTTGACCTGTTTCAGGGGAGAGGCAATAAGTCAGAAGTCCTGAGCTGAAATGGTTAGACTTGTGTCACTGGATTGAATTATACAGCTGTCTTGGACTCTCCTTTCCTTAAACTGACTGGGCATCAGTATCATTCGTGAAAAAGAAACAAACTTTGTTACCATATCTTTAGATTAAGCTGAATGGTGGGCTTTAAATAATCAAAACATACACATAGTTGATTTGTGTATGGGCTACTCTTGGATTCTTGTTATTATATACTTGTGTTCAGTTTATATTTTGTCAAAAACAAAACAAAGTGAAATGTCACTTTTCATTGGAAAGAAAAGTGTGGAGCATGACAGACGGAACTGCTCATCATTCTGGAATTTTCCGTGTAGTAGCCATGCAGAGTGGGAAGTGGGAAAACCTCCATTGTGGTGAGGAGACTACTTCAACGTCCTTTGTCCCTTATTCATTCAGCTAAAGGTGAATTTGACCAAAACAGTTATTGGTTAAATTTGTAGAAGAGTTGAAACTGGCTAAGTTTTTAATTTTGCTTGGATTTTTATAAAATGTTTAACCAAATGTATCTTTGCATTATTTAATTAAAATTGCTAAAAGAACACTGTTTCATTATTTCAGTAAAATGCTGAGCTCCCTTTTTAAAATACCGTGTATTTGCTGATAGTTCTGATTCACTCAGGTGATGAGCAAATTATATCTCAGTGCACATGTGGTGGTGTGGGAAACTACAAGTGTCTGTTGTCAGTCATTCTGTAAGAGTCTAATCTGATGACCTACAGATTATTTTCTGTAGAAATATACTATAAGTCACTACATGCCCTTTCAAGATTTGTAATAAACTTAGGGAAAGGAACATATGTACACTTTGGTAACTAAATTATTCCTGTAATGGATTATAATGCTACTTGATATAGCAGTGGACAGTGTATGATTGACTACTAGAATAGCATTGCCAACAGAAAAGAAACCACTGGTGGATCTGGAAGTAAGCAGTCTCTTTGTGTAGGCTAACCAGAGATAATATTTAAATAAACCACAAAGAGCAAAGTAAAGCATTAAGATTAATGTTATTGGCATTAAATAGTGTCCTATGAAAAATTGCTTAAAATCATTACAAGATAATCAGAGCACAATTGATAGCTAACATGATTGCTTTTCTATTTCACATAATTGTTAAAGGTATGTGTAAGACATTTTAACTTTTTCACATAATCTGTTATGCATCTTTTTCTCTTTATTCTTTTCATTAATAAAGTGTTTGTTTACATTTTATAATGTGCACTACTGATATAAAAGTTTACATCTAAGTTTAGGTATCATTGGGTAGGGAGTAAATATTTGTGGTGGAGAAAATTGATTAAGCCAAAAGAAATATTTTAAAGATGCAAACATTTTCAGAGGTTTTTGAATTTGTAGAAAGTACCAATGAATAACATTTCTGTTTGTTTAATAATCAGCTGTCTGATGAAAATGGCAGTTTACTAATTGCTTAATGTATATATATATATATATATATATATATATATATATATATATATATATATATATAGTCCAATAAACTCATTCCATGGTGTGTTTCAGGAAGTATTAGGTCCTTTTATAAATGTGTAGTTTTGTGACTATAGAAATCAAGCTACAGATTTTTTAAAGTTGAGAAATATTAAATGAGTTAATATACTGATTGATTCTTTATCCCTGTAGAAGGCCATATTAACTTCATTTAATTCACTGTGTTATTTTTTGTTATTTGTATAAAAATTTATCTTTACTGTCATTTTTTCCTATTGTATATAAAGGGTCAAACTTGTAAATTGTTTCCAAATAGGGATGTGGATACTTTTACCTGAGATGGATTTTATAAGACAATCTTAATGTGTTAAATTATTTCATTGTTAGTCCACAAATTATGCACAACAATCTGAAGACTTATAGGGTTATCAGAAAGCTTAAAAGTATTTTGGGTATAAGAAATAAGCTTCCTCAGAGCTAGACTTGATTCAGTCTGTAGATAAGAAACAGTAAGTAACCCAGGGATTTATTATAATTTGAGAGGTGACCTCTCTTTCTTTCTCTCTCTCTCTCACTGTCTCTCTCTCTCTCTCTCTCTCTCCCTCTCTCTCTCTCTCTCTCTCTCTCTCTCTCTCTCTTTTGTTTTTGTTAAATTCAAAAAGTAATAGTCACAGCAACACAGGACTTCAGGAAAAATAACACCACCAAAACAACAACAACAATAAAACACACTAAATAGAATATACCAGATAATGTAAGACAGAAATATTTTGGTATGTTTTTTTCCACATCATCAACATTCTTTTTTTTCTCATTTGTCTTTTACTCTAAAACTGAAAAAACTGAAGCGGAACTGACTAGCAGTGTAGGAAGTAATTTCCCCAGGTGGACTCTATGTCCCATGCATGTCATTTTGTAAACTAGAATCCATTTATATTTGCTCAGAACGTTGTTTGAAATACTACATTCTGACAAACTCTTCATTTGCATTTCCATCATACAACGTGTTCCAATTGGTCATGGATTCAACTTAATTATTAGTACCTTCCTTACTTGAGGATATGAAAAACTGCTGCTACTTGTCTGTATTATTGTCTCTAAGTCTAAATCCTTTCTTTTCATTGAAGGTTCATCTGAGATTACTACTATAGATATGTGAGGGTTTGCAACAAGTCAGAAAGTGTTCTGTGCTTCTAGGTTAGAGAGGGGCGCTGGGGAAAGTGCAGAGGAAAGGGAGGGTATGGGGAAGACGCAGGCTTCAAAGTTCTACCCTGAGTTCTATATTCCACATATGTTTTGCTTAAGGCATTTCTCATGTGACAGACAAGCTATATCCAAAGGTAAATTTTTTTGTGGCAAAGATTTATTTTACATTCTAACATTGGGGATTTTGTTTCTGCAAAATAAAGAGCACTGAACTTAAAACTTGAATTTTTCTGCACTTTTGTAGGAAATGAAAACTGTTTATCATTAATCCACATTGCTCAGTTTAAACGAAGTGTATAACACCAAAATCATGAATATGCTGCTAGCTGCACCTTAAACAACCATCTGTTTTAAAGCCTTGTGTAGGGTTTTATGTAGTTTTCAAAGGTTAAAAAAAAATGTAAGATTATTTGCTCTATCAGTGTTCTTAGTCTTAAATTATTGCAGTGCTTTCAGGTTTGTTTTACAATCATGCAGTAACATGTTATATTTATAATACATACTGCTAAAAATATACTTTTAGTTTTAAAATGGAATTTTTATAAATGTAATCATTAATTTTAAAAATAGTGAACTTGTTAAGTTATAAGTCAAAGTACTTAAAAAGTATGTATATTATCCATACAAGAAGTTATGTTTTATGCTTATAATAAGAAATACTGGTATCTCATATCGAGATACAACTAATTTTTAAAAATGCATCATTCAAAAGTCTTCACAAATGACAGGGAAGATGCCATTATTATGGTTGGGAGAAAAAAACCTATTGAGCATTTTCAAATATCTATCTTACTTTGGGGGGGAATGCCCATAATAATAATTTCAAGATCTTTCTCAATAGCTACAGCTTGCTGTTAGATGCCTATCTTAACTATTGTTTTAAAATATAGATATATATTTAAAATAGTTTTTGAAGTATTTTCTTCTACATTTTTTAAAAATAAATTTCCAAAAATGAAAAGAGTTTATGTATTTTTGTCAATGAAGGTTTTCATTTGTAATTTATAGAATTTGTTCCTCATCAGTTTGATACTTGATCAATATTCCTAGACTTTTTAACCTGTATTTCCTTTGAAAAAAGAATGCTCCTATATCTTAAATGACCTTTTTCTTTTCTTTTAGGGCATTTGTTCTCTTGGATTGAAATTTATGCCCACAGTTGTTGTTGTTTTTTTTTTTTCATTTTGAAAATGAATGTGAAGATAGTGTTTACAGCTTTTGTTCATTGCTCTTTTCATCAGTCTGGTCAACTTCCTGTATAGTGCTGTGGGAATTGATTTCCTGGATATTAATGATATTACTACTGCCTTAGAGGTCCTGAAGGTTCTGTGAACAGAAAATATAATTGTTGCAACCAAAAAAGAATATTAAAGAAAAAAACTAGCTTACCTCTTTCTCATCTGAAGTCAATGATTATTAATAGCTTCCCAAGTACTAGGGTTAGAGCATTGCTTTGTTCAGTCATTGATACAGAATTGAATTATTAGGCACAATTCATTTTTAAATTGCATACAGTAGTCTGAAGGTAGTTGTAAGTGCTCATTATTATAGAAAAATGAATGTTGGTTTTGTCAGCATTTTACAATGAGGTTTCATCATTTAAATTAGAATCTTATAGTACATAAGATGTAAATAAATTAATACTGATTTGTTACAAGTCATTTGACTCCACCATTTAAAATGGGTATAGATTAATGACAATGGAATCTTTTTTTTTAGCATTTGCTATTTTTTTGTGGATTAAACCGCTTCAATTGAAGACAACATAAAAAGTTACAAGCAGATTTAACAGAGGATAAATAGCAGTTACAAGCAGATTTTCAAAGAGGATAAATCATGGTTTTTTTTTAAATTTTTTGTAAATAAACAGTACAATGATACTTTAGGTGTGATCTCTACCCAACAAAGTAGTTAGATGAGAAAAACATTTTCCTTTAGTTACAGTATTGGTTTGTTGTAAATGCATTGCCAAAAGACCATATTAAATAAAAAGCAAGGTTAAATTTCCCTAAATGTCCATGTCCTGGGCAAGCATGCTAGGTATAAAGCTCTAGCTTATGTATGTTTTAAATTGTACCTGGAGATCTTGTTCAATTTCTGCACTTTTTAAAAAACTCTTGCTTAGTCCCAGTAACTATCACAAAAGTAATTGCTGGACATGCATTTGAAATGCAGTCTAAAAAAAAAAACAAAACAAAAAACTGTGTTGTTTGGGGGGAGGGGGGAGAAGCACTATTGCAAACCCTAAAAAAATGTGTTCAGACTTTGTAGTTATTTTGCATCCCTGTACTTTATCAGCAAAAAAAAAAAAACATCACAGCAAAAAGGTTTAAAATTAGGTAATGAAGTATTTTTGTAAATAAATACCTTAAGCCGGTATTTTTTTAAAAATGTGTTATAAATTAATGTTTCTGAAAATGTTCATATATATGTATATGAGTGTCTCTTTATGCTGAAGGGCTCTGATTGGGCACAATAAAATACACTAATCTCCTGAAACTAAACAATCCCTTTTTTTTTTCTAGAAAATTTTGTTTCATTGTTTCTGAATTGTACAATTAACCCATTATTTTAACCTAAGAAAATACATGATAAAAATTGGTTGCTCTGTTTCCAAAGGGAAATACAAATTAACTGGATATTTCAAATAAGACCAGCTATACTTACTGTTTGGGTGAGAAGTACCCCAGTGGTAGGTAGGGGCTGGAACAAGGAGGCAAAGTTGGAGTAAGGAGACAGGAACTAGATCTATACACAGTCACCATCCATGTAGTCTTGCTAAAATGTAGGTTCTGATCCAGTGCATATGACTAGCAGCTGCCTGATGAGGCATCTAACAAGTTCAACTAATACAAATGCTATGGGTCTATAAAGCATACTT